CCCCCAGAACTCAAGAACGGTATGTCGTACCCCGTACAAAATTATATGGGATGTGTAACTTGACATGAAACCAATAAAATTGTACTGTTGAAACGAAAATTAATAAATTTACCAAAAATGCCTGTGAGAAACCCGTTGCCATGGCAAGACAAAAATCATTATCTTATTCCTATAATATACAATTGTTGCCAACAATATTCTAGGAAAAGTCACCAAGTTTGGCCGTCCTAGCTCTAGCCGTTCAGACGCTATGTGACATCAGTTGTTGGCGCGGGAACTTTTACCCCCACCCCCGGTCTAGATAAGCTTATTAGTAGAATTAAATCATAAGAAAAATGTAGGTGTCATTATGACGTAATATGACATCACCCAAAACCATATCCAGTTGCTTGTCGTAACTGCTTTTTGGCGTGTTCTATAAATGTTCTGTATTTACAAAAACACGCAGTATAGATCATATAGGTAGTTGTCAAATCGAAGTTTAATACACATACTTACGTTTCCTCTGGTGGTAGTTTCGGTAAGGCCAACTGTCCCACTCAGGACCAGGAGATGTCACCGTGTCCTTGTCAGAACTACTGAGCCAACACCGTGCACTGCCGCCCTCTGGCGATCCGGCAGGGCGATGGTTGAATGACAGACAGTTTGGGTTGACGCCATCATAGCTGCCGTATCCTTGCAGACAGCGACGGGCACACTCTTCTGCGTCTATGCCGCTGTATGCCGTTATGTTGTCAGCAGTACTGCCAAAGTAGCGACCTTCCTCCTTGGTGAAGAGATCCTCGTATATATATACGTAGGAGACAGTAACTAAAAGAGAAAGTTACATAATGAAGACACGAAAAACATATACAAACGTTTTCACAACCACGTCCATATATGTGCCCTAATTATTATCATAAACAAATGATAATGTAAATACCTGTGCGGATTTGACACGAGTCTCCAGTCCATGTGACTGGACACCCTCCGGTACAGAATCCAGTCGTCTTGTCACAGGCAGCTGGTCCGGCTGCACAGTTACAGGTTTCGGTGCAACCTGCTCCGTACAAGCCGTCTGGACACTCTAAAGATGGGAATCGGACTTTCATTAATAACGTACTGTGTTATTAACTTAGTACAAGAAAAAGAATAAAGCAGCAAGATCATTCTTATAAAAGGTCCAACTTCATTCGGATGCAAATCAATGAAACAGCTGATCATCGATAGACAACTATAAAGTTTGTCGGACACCTAAACATGCCTATTATAGTTATCAATGATACACAATGATATACACAATGAAATGAGCTATCACTAGAATGTATTCTCACCAGTATTACACTCTATGCCCATGAGTCCAGGTGCGCAGGAACAGCCGTACGGGTCCATCACACACAGCAGCTGGCCCGTACAGTCTCCACCGTCACACTCTCTCGTGCAGCTTGTGCCGATCTTGCCATTCGCACATGCTTTGAGGAAAAAAGGAGGGTTAGTTCAAGTTGAAATAGTATAAGGTATACATGTTTATTCGCTATTGCCATTTGGCATTGACAACATGTGAGTTTATGTGCTGGAATCTGTGTTTCAAAAACTATTATAATCCATAGAAAGAGATTTTACTTCATTAACTGAAGAAATCATACTGATATATTAAGTCATACCCCTTTCACAGTTGTGCCCATGGAACCCCGGAGGACAGACGCATTCCCCCGTGTTGTCGTCACACACACCGCCGTTGTAGCACACGGGACAGTCAGCGGTACAGGAGGGTGGACCCCACTTGTTCTCAGCACAACCTGGGTAAGAGCCAAGTATTACCATTGTCATAAGTACATACCCACAGAATATCAACGATACCGATGAGCACTGGCTTCTGAGTAGGCACAAAATATTTGAAATTCTCTAGACATGAATACAGGTCTAGTCTATTTAATCACTTATAAATTCAAACTATCTACAAAAAAAAATCAATTTTTTAAAGATTTCTGTAACTTAGCATGAAAAGATTACAGTGAACAAGAAAGGTAACATTTGCAAAGCAAATGTTCACCTTCGCATATGGTCTGCTCTGTTAATTCTTGCTCCAAAACATTCACATATATGGTGACAGGAGTCTAAATCCCTCCTACTATAAAACTACCACAATATGTCCCCAAAAACCAGTTACCATGGTGAGAGACGGTCAGTTTCAGGTCATTGACAAGGTCAGAGGTCAGTGCTTGGAGTGGAAGAAGAAACAGAGCAAAAGCAACATGTTTTCCTTTAGTAAACATGTGGAGAAGTTAAACCGTTCTAAAATTGAAAAAAATTGACTCACATGAATTTTCTTTTGGTGTACTCATTAGCTATTTACTTTTCGACATACACAGTCAACACGTAAATGAGATACAATGGCAATTATAGATCTACTTATTGATATCTTACAAATTTTACAAATTCGGATGAGCCTGAACTGATGTGAACATGCAAGTCATAATAAGACACGTTACGTATACCTCTGACAATGAGCCTCATGATGCCCTGTTTTCTTTCAGTGTCCTCCTGATAGTAGCACTCATAGATCCCCTCATCTGAAGACTGGACACTGGCTATGGTCAGGTTAAGGCCGTTCTGCCCGATCAGGACAGTCCCTCCGGCCCCTCCCTTCCTCCACACAATGGTACCGGTCCTACTGGACCTCTGCACCATCTGTAGCGTCACGGGGTCTCCTAGGCTGGCGGTTACTGTGAAGGCCACAGGCCAGACATCGGCTAGAAATAAAAGGATACGTAAGTTAAAACAACAAAGTTTAATAACAATCAATCTATTGGATCTACAGGATGTTATGTTGTGTACTCACCCTGTGATTTCATCTTGAATGTGATGGCCTTTTCTGTTTGATTTCCGTCGCGTACTTGACATGAAAATGCTCCAACCCGGAAATCACCAGCGGTATCCCAGATCCTCACACTCCTGCCTCTTGTCAAAGCAGTGGTGGTTCTTTGCGGTGGGAATCTTGTTCCCGATCCAGTGTTGACCTCGACTCCGAACTGGTACCCTTTCTGGTTGATGGTACTACCCGTGTAGTAACAGTACAGCCGGTGTCATCGGACTCGTCAAAGAACTGGTACTTACTGACGATGGTGACGTCTACTACACCTGACAAGACATATGAAGTGATTCCTTAAGTGATTACCTTAGTTTTATTACTAGTTGTACGATTTTATCCCTCTAAGTAGATTTGAAAGTTTGCTTTGAAGTTTGAGGGAGAAAATATATTACAGTATACTGTCATGCGTTTTTACATAAAAAAAAGTAATCTGAAAAATGTTATCATAAAAAATGTAATATATTTTATAAATACTTTATCCATATATTTACCTTAAGTAAGAATATGATGAATTTCCTAACAGCTTAGTGATAGACAAACATATCTAAATAATTTCAAGTTTCCAACAGCACAAAAGCATATGCAATCACAATAGTGACTATTCCTAACATGTAAACATTCCTAACAGCAAAACAACACAATAAAAAGACTCCCCCGGCTCGTCACTGAATGCCATCCATGCACTGAATACCATGAATTAAACACTTCTCCGTCCCCAAACACGAAATGGAATAAGGCACATGTTTGTCCATTACTGTGCACGCAGTAAGGGATAGAGAAAGCACCTATGGCGGCCAGAATCAACATGCTAAAATATACGTGTATTTACATTTTGTAGGTATAAGTAGCTGGGTAGGCTGGAATAGTGATGTAATTTGAATGCGCAATGATTTTACATTATCGTATTTGGGGACGTCCACACACTGTGCGTACGACTTTCAAATGAGAACTCTCAAAACACAACTCACCTGTTATTGATGGTGTAAGGCAGACCAGGACGAAGACAGCACACAGCCAGGGGACATGAGTTTCCCGCGCGGTCCCCATGCCAACACTGGTGCTCAAACTCTCGCCTTTATGGCGTGTTGAGGTTGAGTATAGTACAATCTAACGACGTCAAGCGGCACCTGTCCTGTTCCTGTCCTTTTGCCGAGTAAACGACTCTTAGATAAAGTCCTTGCTAAAGCGGTGACTTGTACGACTGTTAGATCAAGTACTTACAAAGTTGGAGACTTGTATGTAGCTACTTCCTTGTGCGTCATGACCGTGGGAAATGTCCTCAGGGTTAATTAAATGTTTATGTTTAGCCGGTGCAGCTGGCGTTACAATTGCATGCATTGCTGAATGCTTAAGGCGAGGCGTTCTTCTCACAGTAACCTACCTGGGGTATGTTTGCATGTCTGGAGGCGACCAAACCCACCAGATACTCATCATGGCAACAGGAAACCTTAAACCTAAAGCTAATATATATATCCTAGTAGTGACCGACTCGCCACTTTGAAAATTAGAAATGTCCAAGCTCTAAGCAGAACCTTACCTGTTGGCCAGTGTTTGTCAAAAGCGTTCTGCATGAAGGTTTACTGGACATCTCGTTCCTTATTCCGCTGTTTACGTAAATATTATCATGCCCGTAGCACGTCCGTGCCTGTCACGAGGATTCAGCGTAGTGTTGACGGTGTTTGAAGGGGTGTTCCCCATTTAAATACCGTCAGCACTACGCTCTCCGCGCCGCCTTGGCGATGACGTAACCCCGAAGTTCCAAAGAACTGATCCGTTTTGAATCTTCTTCCTTGTAGTTCGCCATGTATTTTGGAGCACAACGGGCCACAGAAAAACGTTTAAAAGCACCGATATAATGGTGCGCTCCGGGTGTTGGTGGATCGTATAACCTACAAGCCAGTAGATGGGGCAAATTATGTTATAACCTGTGCCTCTGGTGTTATCCGAGGTTAATGTGGTATTCGGGCGAATGCATAATTTTTACCTCCATGAAAAATGGAGGTCTTGTTTTTGGTTGTCTGTCTGTCTGTCTGTGTGTGTATTTGTGTTTCCGCACATTTGTAGTCAGCATAACTTCAGAACGCCTTTATGGATTGTGATGATATTTGGTTTGTTGGTAAGTCTTAAGGTCGAGGTCAAATATTGGCCTCCTGCTGGATGACCTTGGTACTGCAGCTACCTTTGTCCCGTTTTTGATCTTTTGTTTGAACATGCTAATGGTCTTGACTTTTGAGTGACAGATACCTTATAATGTCAGGAATAAGTGGTGTGAGTTTGGTCCCCCTAGCATCTTGTTCTGGAACTGTAGGGCACTTTCTGGCGAAATGTTTAAAAGCCAATAAGTTCAGATAGGAAAAACGTATTTTCATCATTTTCGGTGTGTGGGTTACTGAAAAAGAGTTGTACATACTTAAATGCAGATTATGTAAATGAGGACCTAATTTGCATAATCAATGAGAAAATCCTATAATTACATTACTGTTTATATAATAGTACTTCTATACATGTAATCTATTAAATATGTGGCAGGCAAAACATCAATAGATACCAATAATGCAAATGATTACCTAATTTACATAATTAATGTGGAAATTCTGTGACTCTTTATTGGTGAATGATGGGACTTTTTATACCTTGTGACATGTGTAAGTTACTTTTAGCTTTAAAAAGGTTGATACCACTATGCACATATTATGTTAATGCGGAGGTCATTTACATAATCAATGAGGACATGTTGAAATGAAGTATGACAAAGTAGAGGAATTTTACAATATAAAAATATTGTCATTTGAATTTACATTAAGTAGATTATGCTAATTATGACCTTATTTCTATTGTCAATGAGACAAATAAAAAACATTTACAAAGACTTTATATTTCATGGAGGTATGAAATCTCTTGTTCATCTTGTTTTCACAACACTTGTGAATTTACTATGCGTAAAGTTTGTCTAATATCGTTGGAAGTTTAAGAAAGATTAACTATTATATATACAGTGTATACTGATAGTGATCGATATAGAATTACATGGCTAAAGAAAGAAACAAGCTTGAAAGGAAAGAATAATAAGAAGTCGAAATTTCATTTTACAAGCAGTTGTTGGAATGAGGTATTGTAAGTCTCTAGCAAGTCGCCATTTCGTATCGTCACCATCATTTCCCTACTGGTAATAAGCCCCCTCACAGGGAACGGGGTGTGTGGTGAAGGTGAGAGATCAATTCAGGGCATGCAATACCAATACGTTCTACTGCGGGATTAAAAACAAATAACCCCCAAAAAAGGTGTCAACATCTCACCTCTGGGATAAAAAGGTCATGACAACTGACCTTGACAGGATAGCCCACCTCTTGAATTGTCCACAAGCCAGATTCTACCATTTTTGATACAGCTCTTTAAACTTTAAATGGCCACAAACAGTCGGAAACCTGACCTTTCACCTCTAATCAACCAGAAATCTATCCAGAAATCAACCTGATCACACCACTTGGAACTACTTTCCCCACTGGTCTCCAAAACATTCTAAACCAAAGTTTTTGGGCCAAAATCAGTGAGTATGAAGCTTTGTCTATCCCATCCACAAAAAACAAAAGGACACCAAATTTTCCAAGAAAAATGAAATTTTATTGCTCTCTATATATATACCCGGTACTATATTCCACCCTACACGCATGCGCCTATAGAAATCCATGCCCTCAAGCACCCTAAAACAAAACGATATCCCGTGACCAGCACGTCCAGAGAATGAAAGATTATGATTGCACGTTTAGGGCCTTAGAGAACTGTGCATCAAACTGCATATAAAATATGTAGAGTTACCTTACTGCAAGTCGGCGTTAAATGGATTAAATAGATGTATCGTCAAGGCTACCACAGAAAGTGGATTAAGTTGCATTAACATGTATGGCTCTAAATGTATTAATCGTTGTAATCGTGATGCATTTATAAAATAAATTAAAAAGTGCACAGTGCAAGGGTTATGATTTTCGCTTTTTAATGAATATTAATCTGTGATGGTAAAATCATCGTAAAATTTAGTCCATGTAGCGTTACGCAAAGTTAAAGTGTTCACCAAAAATCTTTCCGTCCTCTAACCCTCGTCAGGTTGAAATGATCCGAACACTGAGTTATCTGGATGTGTGACGTCATGGGAGGGTAAATATGAAATCTGTTTTGGCGCCATCATAAGCCGCCATGGTCATAGGACCTTGAGAAAGGTCGGAGGACTTACCAGAAGCCTGTTCGTAATCAGGACATTACTGCTGTGTTAGGTTGCATGCGCAGTGAATTTGCAGTCATTGATTAAATTTTATGAAGGTGTTATGATTTATTAGCTTAAAAATACATTAGAAGGAACACAATCTAATATAAAAAAGATTTCTAGTTACTTGATCGTGACAATGTTCAAAGAAACTATTATTATGTCAGAACCATTTAAAACTAAAATATCATCTTAGACGTTTTGTCACATTTTTAGTGACAGACCCATGTTTCATACAAACTTTCGTTACCATTTCGCAAATTTCTATATGTTTGAATGTAAGAATGTTACCAACTGTAAGAAAAGGACACAATAACAAAACTGAATAACAGGCCATGTCAAAGGTTTAAGTAGAACTAGAAACTATTAGTTTTAAAAGTCATTCCATTTACTCTTGAGCAATTTTGAGTTGAACGAATTGAAACATTAAACACCAAGAATGAATTAAACAATATAGTTACTGATCTTACAGCAATTCAATAGTTTGTCAGAATGGTCACTTTCTTTTTTGAGGCCTCAGCCAGGACTAACTGTCCATCTGGACCCATGGCAATGCTCAGAGGGTCAATATCAGTAGCGATGTGCCGGATAAATTCCCCGTGGCTTGTGAACAGCTCAATCCGCCTGTTTCCCGAGTCCGCCACGATGATGTGACGAGAACTGTCCGTACAGATGTCAAGGGGGAGGCTGAACTGGCCGTTGTTGGTTCCCTTTCCTGCAAACTTGAACAGGAGCTGTCCATTGTCGCGATACACGTAGATGTAGGCAGTGGAGGAGTCCACCACTAGGATAGAGTCCTCGCTGTCCACTGTAATGCCTGTTGGGTACATCAAACCCTGCCGCCGCCCAAAACGTCGCTCGAGTATTCCGTTTAACCCGAAGACTTTTACCACCCCGCGGTGCCTGACCGTCTCTGTCACAATGGCGCGAGTTGACCTTCTGTTTAGAGCAAGTCTACGGGGTGCTAAAGTACTTGGAATGGCAAAACTGTATATATAATTTACAAGACCGTCATACTGCGCGATATAGTGGGACGAGTTATCCCCACCTAAAATCCAAACGTCGTTGTTATTGTTGAGGGTACCGAAAGAAACGTCATGAGTGAAAATGACAGTCATCTTTCCCTGTCGCTTTTTATCTATAAGTGTTAAGAAATCTAAGAGGAAGGCGCCGTCACTGTCATAGATACCAATTCTACGGCCGCCTCCAAACGCCACGGCTATTCTCCCACCTGTAGACACAGTGACTGTTCGCGGATTCCCGTTGACATGAAAGGATTTTGCAGCGATAGTCGATGTGACCTTCGTATCTGGGCAGTAAAAAAACAGTACAGGTCCTGAGCCTGAGTCCATCGATTGATGTTGACTAAATCCCTTCTTGCAATCCAATCTAGCTGATTGGCTGCTGAGACAATTGGATCACATGTGATTATATAAACTGTCATTTTTAAGCAGATATGGGTGGTTTGGATAAGTATTCTCGAACTGGAGAAAGCTAAATATGACTAGAAAGGCCAATATTTGCTTTGGAGCAAATACAGCGATGGGTTCACCACATTTTACGACATGGCAGGGAAAGAATGAGAAACACAAGGGAAAACAATGATTTACATTGATATAACTATAATATGAAGTAACAAACAACTAAAACAACAGTTGGATAGCTATTCCCTACTTTATTGGTTAGGATTTTTAATTGCATAATGCAAACTGTTGATTTTCAAAATAAAATAAAAAAACGTTCATGCCCCGCATTCCAATGCTGGAGCAGAAAAGCTTGAAATACCTACCAAAACACTTGAATAAAGACATACTGTCAGTATGGAAATGTTCTGTGCAGGTGTTAATCAAGTTAAATCCCAACAGCCAATCAGCAAGAAATGCTCTGTGCAGGTGGAAATGCTCTGTGCGGGTGTTAATCAAGTTAAATCCCAACAGCCAATCAGCAAGAAGTATAGAGGAAAGCTGCATGCCTATTGGTTGATGCCCTGCATTCCATTGTGATGACTCATGCCCAGACGTGGTAAACACGGCACACTAACACAGTAATACATTTGCTATAACACAGCCAAAAAACTCAAATAAAACCATTCTAAAAGCCTGTATCACAAAAATTTAAAAAACGCCTAGGGGTATTTGCCCACTGTACCTCCATACCAAATTTCAGGACCTTAGGCCCTAAAATGAAGAAGCTGAATCCATTTAAAGATATGGCAGAAGGAGGAGAAACATCAGAAAAAGCAATATGGGTTCACCACCACTTCGTGGTGTGGTGAACCCATAAATATTCATAAAATCTTGAATGTATGATGTTAGGTCTTGATCTCTTAACCACATAAATAATTGTAGTGGCTGTATTACTACATAGCAGAAATTCCGGGGTTTTGTGTTTCATGTTCTTGGATATGCGATAGTCATACTTGTATTCCGATGTCAAAAGTAATATGTCAAATGCAAAAAAAATGTCATTCAATTACGGTTCCATTGTTTGTAGAATGACATAGGTGACGCAATGATCTTACCTTTAGTCATTTCTGCCCGGGCCCAGCTGGTTGTTGACAAGCGGTTCTCAGAGCTAGGATCTGACCAAACCTTTGTTGAAAAAAAGTTTGAAAATTTTGTCACTGATAATGGTCTCTCTGTACAGGCTCAGACCACGGCAAGTAGTTTGTATGGACGACATTAGACATTAGCGCGCGCATTGATTTCGTATGGTTTTGGGGAAAAAATCAAGTAATTTTGTTGTCCTCCAACGGTGGTCAACAAGCCAGAAATGTTTAATATGTCATGAGTTCTGTTTCGAAATGTTTAAAAGTTGTTTCAGTGACTTGAGGCGCAATTAGTCGCCTTTGATGGCAGGCGTTAAAATTCTAAGGTGTTCTATCGCACATGAATATCCAGCAATGTAGTTAATATAGCTGCCCATGATGGTACGACAACCTCTTTTTTATTCTAGTTAATGTTTAGAAAGACAGGAATAAAAGACCTCTTTGTTATGATGTCAATTTCATTAAACTACAAAGATTATTATCTTATGATTTGAAAAGTAATATTGTTTTGTTTTGTCCTATCGCATTAAATTTGGAGTTTGTCGAGGATTCCGTTCTTTAAATGTACTTGCTGTGGGATTAATATATAATAAACAAAAAATTAGAAGAATAGGAAAAGTTAGTTCCAATGTGGCATGAACATGATGAACAAAGGTATTTACAAAGCTAATCACAGTAGCTGCTGACAAAAGGAAGTGGAAACGTGGTGCCCGATGTGCCATCAGACACAGGAGGAATTAAGGTAAAAGATCTAATGTAATAAAGTGGTATGAACAAAAGTATTTACTTACGTTGTCGATGACAGTTATGCTCACATCTACCGTTGTCCCTGACCTTGTAACATCAAATGACGTTCCCCATGTCAATGTAGCAGTTGACTTAGTTGTATTGGGCCCAGGCCGAAAAGATGTACATGGCTATAAGAAATGATATCTAAAATTTCACATGTAAAACATGCAAAACATATGTTTTTCTGTAAACAGGACTTTATATTTCCAAAGCTGCTCTGCTGTTTTCAAATCGCCAGGAAGCAGGAACCAAAATGTTGGCGCCTGGCGGAGAATAAAGAAAACACAAAATAAAGGCACTTCAAAAGAACCTCTCTAAATGACAGCATATGATGGCTAAAACCCAAAGTTTCCAAAGACTACCACACGTCTGCCATGAAGAGCAATGGACAGCAACAACAACCTTTTAACCAATTCAATGACTTTAGCAAACATATTTTCTTGAAGACTAAGTCATGTTAAATTATTATTATTATTATTATTATTATTATTATTATTATTATTATTATTATTATTATTATTATTATTATTATTATTATTATTATTATTATTATTATTATTATTATTATTATTATTATTATTATTATTATTATTATTATTATTATTATTTTCAAAAAAAGTAGTGCTTGTTCCCATACTTAGATCCTGTGTGAAAACAAAAGTGAAAGGTTGAACAATAAACTTACAGCGTGCTTGTCCAGATCAAGAGGAAGTACCTTCGTCACCAGCAACAGTCCAACGATGATCAAGGTGGCAACAAAGATGGCGGTTGCCACGTCGTGGAAATGTCGAAGCCGGCAAAGAAGCATGTTTCCTTAATAAATTTACCTCGGAACGTTACACTTCTTACAGATTACAGGAACAGTAGATATCTGTCAAAGACGTTCCGTATCAGGTTTCAACTTAAAATCTGCATTACACAGAAATTTGTCAATACAGAATTCCGATATCAGCAGCAAAGTGTTGGAAACTGCACTAAACGTATGATCACAGGAAAGAATTATTTGAAATCTAGCACGCATTACAATTAAGTTACATGAATTAGTGGTTTACCTCTTTGATCGTCTTGTTGTGATGTCTCCTTTAAGGGCTGGATCGTTTGGGGAGATTCCAGACCCTCTGATGTGATGGAACTCGAACCTGGCTCTTCTTTTACATCTTGTGTAGAGTGTGATGTGTTGTCGATATAGGTGTAGTCGTGATCGTCAATGTAGGTATAGCAGTGGGTTGTTGGGCCTTCCAAAATATCATCATGACCCTTGGTTTGAGTTGACTCTTCATCTTGTAAAATGTCGTTGTTGCTACGGGGTCTTGATCTTGGCGTATCTATGTAATATAAACGATATCCACTTTCTGCTAAATTGTATTATGACCGATATGGATTGTGTTTTCAATAAAAAGCGCACCAAAACTAGAGTTCCGCCGTCTCAAACCTTTACCAAATGGTACCAACCTTTCAAATACTAAATGTTTTCTTTTTGTTATGCAAATTAGGTCTTCATTTTCATGAGTTATATCCATTAATGATATTCCACATGGAAACAACACTGTAGTATGGAATCTGATCTGATGAAAAAGATTATTGTAAAATTATTTCACAAATAAAAGTCCCTGATTTGACAATTATTTCATTAATTAAAAGGCACTGATTTGCTTTGCTCTTTTGATACTCTTTTCAAACATAGACCTCTGAGACGTGCTACATGGATATCACCTAATAGCGCCACAAGAAATCAAATCGACTTTATCATAGTGGACAAAGAACTTAAAAGCATAGTGAAAAATAGCCGCTCATTCCATTCAGCTGACATTGGCTCAGATCATTCACTGGTCATGGCCACTTTTAAAATGAACACCCCAATAGAAAGGAAGCCTAAAACAATGCCCAAGCGTTTTGATGTTGAAAAACTGAAAAACCCAGAAGTAGCATCCTCTTTCTCCTCCCGGATTGGCAACTCTTTAGAGCCCCTGTTGCAGATGGGTGATTTGGACATTAATGAGCTCTACTCAAAATTTCAAACAACTACAAATAAAACTACTAAAGAGGTGGTAGGCTTTAAGAAACATGCAAAACTGGAAGGTCTACCCCCAGATGTAGAACAAGCTTGTGAAGATAGGCGGAATGCAAGGCAATGTATGCTGAGTAGGCCTAATGATCAGGAAGCAAAAAAACGCTTACCAAATGTACAACAAACTGGTGAAGAAGGCAGTTAAGAAGCATAAGCATAAGTTAATGAAGGACAGAGTGGCAGCAATGGAAAAGGACTATGCTAACAACAACACCCATAGTCTTTTTAAAACAATCCGAGAGCTAGAGAATAAGCCTAGAAAGCCTTTAAGTGTAATGATAGACAAAAATGGCATAAAGCACACCAACCCTAATGAAGTGCTACGTATTTGGGAAGAGCACTTTAAGGACCATCTTAACAACGAATTCCCTCATCTAGAGGAAGCCCTAGATGACATTCCTAATCCCCCAGCTAACCAAGAACAAGCCCCCCCCCATCTCCCGTGAGGAAGTGATCAATTCGATAAAAAGGATGAAAAACAGAAAAGCTCCGGGTGATGACGCGATAACTGCAGAAGTCTTAAAAGCAGGTGGGGAGAAAATGATTGACATGTTGCACCTTATTTTCACCAAGGTTTGGAATGAGGAGTGTCCACCACATGAATGGTCAAAAATGCTGGTAATGCCAGTGCACAAAAAAGGTAGCAAGCTGGATCCGGCAAACTACCGTGCCATTGCTCTTTTATCTATACCAGGAAAGGTTTTCCTCAGAATATTGTTAGATAGAATGCAAGCCAAAACAGAAGCCCACTTTAAAGAATCTCAGTTTGGCTTCAGAAGTGGCAGGGGAACTGTAGATGCCATATTTGTTGTAAGACAGATCTTAGAAAAGGCAAGAGAAAGGCAAGTTAACCTGCATTTCCACTTCATTGATTTTAAAGCTGCCTTCGACACAGTCTGGAGAAAAGCGTTGTGGAAAATGATGAGAGCAATAGGTGTGGACATGAAGATAGTCAACATAATAGAAGAAATGTACAAGAACACCCAATGTGCAATAACTGTCAACAATCAGATCACAAAGTGGTTTCAAGTTAGGGTAGGTGTCAGACAGGGATGCCTCATGTCCCCAGTCCTCTTTAACATTTTCCTAGAATTTGTAATGGATGAGCTTAAGAGCTTAGATATGTCTTTCCGGCTGCATGAAGAGCTTTCAATAGAGGAAAGATACGCAGATGACACCACACTTATCGCTGCTATCTTGCTATCGCTGTTGAAACTGCAGCTGTCAACCCAAGAGCTAGAGTATGCATGCAAAAAATGGGGACTGAAAGTCAACGCAGCTAAGTGTAAAGTCATATTCCCAGAGCCAGACGGGGAATTAAGTATAGAAGGATCCGTTGTTGAAAAAGTGCAGGAATTTGTTTTGCTAGGTAGTGTTATACCAGGCACTAGAAGCGATGTCAAGAGGCGGGTTGCCCTGGCTGCTTCTGCCTTTGGTAGACTCAAGAAATCAGTCTGGAATAGGTCAGATGTCAGTAGACACCTAAAAGTCCATCTGCTGTATGCCCTTATTTTCCCAATAGCTACCTATGCCTGTGAGACGTGGACACTGAAAAAAATTGATGAACAACTCTTATTGGCATTTGAAATGAGATGTCTACGGGCTATCCTGAAGGTCTCAAGGAGAGACCATATAAGAAATGAGGAAATACGCGCTATGCTTAAAGTGGAGAGCACAATTATTGATAACATCCGTAAAAGAAGACTGAAGTGGTTCGGCCATGTACAGAGGAGGCCCCCAGACTCATTTGTATACCGGGCCTACCATCAGGATTTTAATAACCCAAGACCAAGGGGAAGACCCCCAAAAAGATGGCAGGACCAAATAGTGTCTGACACTGGATGGCCCCTCAAGATCGCAGAACAAAAGGCTAAGGACCGTGCTGCCTGGAGGGAGAAAGTGCAGAGGTGCAAGGGGCCAGTTCTGGCCTAGGCATTTAGGCAGGTAGGCAGGATTTGCTTTGCTTTAATCTTATCATGTAAGTCAATACAAGACTAAATTCTAATGGAGCAGTTAGTTCATATTGCAATATTGTTCGAGTACAGACATACCTTTTCTTAAAGGTACTTCCAAGCATCTGGGCTTTGCTGTGTGATCTTCACTCAACATTGCTTCCTTTCCATTTCGACCATTGTCAGCCGTTCCTTCACAGTCGGTGACTTCGAAGTGGTATGAAACAAGATATGGCTCGATTTCGTCCTCGTCAGTTCCTTCTACTAAACAGGAAAAAGAATCCAATATCGTTCATTGTGCACCATTCAACACTCTGCTCTTAGTTGTATTGCTTATTAACTATCTAGCTAAATCATACTTATTGGTATATTTGCATTTGTAATGTTCTTTGCAGCCCTGTGGCTGAATTCCAAAGTTATATCAGCTTGACCTTCATCAACGTTCCAATTCATGAAACAACTAAGTTCGTCATTTTAGCGAATGTATGCATCGTATTTTCTACCACATCTTGTACTGAACAAGAATTCGTAAACCTCCATTAAATTCAATGTATTAAGGTTTTGTGTGATGGTGTCCTCTTCTCATTTACTACGGTGTCTTTTTTAATGAGGTAAAAACGTACCGTGTCAATCCGACCTTTCTAAATACAAATAATCACTGTAACTCCCACCTGTCGAAAATGGAGCATCATCCCCTGGATTTTCTGCATCCAGATTCCCCAGGTGGTAAGCAGTGAGATATGGCTCGATGAAGCCGTCCCCATATTCATCTGTCTGTGTGGAGCAGTGAGCATTCTCCGTTTCTTCCTGACTACCGTCTGGGGCGTGAGTGTCTTCACCATTAGACGGTCCCGCTACTATAGACATCGCGGCAGATTGGTAACCTTTTACCTCATTTTTGTTTTCTTCTTCCTAGAAGAGGCCATTCACAGCTTCTACCTTTCTTTCCTGCTCAAAACGACTCGCCACTTCTTACTACTTGCCCTTCCGATGTTCCAAAACATTTAGGCGTTTGCTGTTCTATTTACTGGTAGGTGATATATAACAGTTGAAGCAGGTCAATTGTATGCATACGCCTTGTATATAAGTACATGGATTGTGTCCAGACGCATCAATCGTGTTATTGTCTGCAATGTAAAATTAAATGAATGTGTTTTCGAACTGCTTCTTTTACGTTTATCCAGCCAAAGATGTCATTGGACCAACAGAAAGTGGGTCAACGTCTCATTATTGTAGCTTGAAATAATCTGACTAATCTGAAAATTGAATTGCGGCCACTTTTCTCAAAATATTTTAAGCGTATATTAGTCTACCGTCTAAGGTATGTGTTGCATAAATCTGCCCAAGCCATTATGGCTCATGAAGTGGAACAAATTTGCAATCTACTGACTTTTTTCAGTGTGGGCTACTGTCCACAACTTGCTTATATTTATTGCGCATATGCATCTGAAAAATTGTAGAAGACCTCTGTTGTGTCATTTCGCAGAAACAAGGATACAAGAACAAAACAGTAATTTTTTTCTATTGCCGACCGATAGGCCATGTCAAAATTTTTAAAGTGACACTAAGCATGTGCTATTATAGTTCTAAAAGCCATTCCATTTACTCGTCAACATGTTTGACAAGCATAAACAGAAACTTGATTGTTTCTATCAGTCTAGAGCAATCACGTTACAATGGAATTTGAAGTTTTCCATCACACACCAAGAGTGTATAAAACAACATAAAAAGCCAATCTTACAAGAATTCAATACTTTGTCAAAATAATCACTTTCTTTTTCGACACTTCAGTCAGGACTAACTGTCCGTCTGGACCAACGGCAATGCTCACAGGGTCAATGTCAGTAGCGATGTGCCGGATAAATTCCCCGCGGCTTGTGAACAGCTCAATCCGCCTGTTTCCCGAGTCAGCCACGATAATGTGACGAGAACTGTCCGTACAGATGTCAAGGGGGAGGCTCAACTGGCCGTTGTTGGTTCCCTTTCCTGCAAACTTGAACAGGAGCTGTCCATTGTCGCGATACACGTAGATGTAGGCAGTGGAGGAGTCCGCCACTAGGATAGAGTCATCGTTGTTCACTGTGATGCCTGCTGGGTACATCAAACCCTGCCGCCACCCAAAACCTCGCTCGAGCATCCCGTTCAACATGAAAACCTTTACCATCCCGTGATGTTTATCCGTCTCTGTCACAATGGCGCGATTGGACAATCTGTTTACTGCAAGTCTACGAGGTTCCGAGATGGGAGGAATTGCAAAACCGATTTTAAAACGTCCACCGCAATCATACTGCGCGACATAGTGGGTCAGCTGATTCCCACCCACAATCCAAATGTCGTTGTTGGCGAGGGTACCAAAAGAAACATCGTGGGGGAAAACGGGAATCGTCTTTTCATGTCGTTCTTCAATTTTTATTATATCTGTTAAGAAATTCACGGTAATGATACCCTCTGTGTCATAGACGCTGACTCTACGGCCTCTAAACATAACGGCAATCTTCCCACTTGTAGACACAGTGAGTTTGCGTGGATGCCCCTCGACATCAAAGGATTTTGTAGCCTTGACTGGTTTGAATAGAATAGAAAGATCGATTAATTAGTAAATCACTGCAATCTTTATTAGAAGCCTGGACGTTCCGGTTTTGTAGGGTTGGCTCGTTCTGATGTTTTGGGTGAATAGCGCAACTCGAAATGCAATAAACGGGTGTCAGCTACCCAAGACATAAAAACACATTTATTAGTGTTTGTTCTTGGTACTGCATGCAGCAGAATTTCCGGGATATGGATCTCATGATCTCGTCACGAATTTATTCCGACGTCATAAGCACTATGTCAATGGTAAAAGAGATAAAAAACAACCAACTTTTAACAACTAAGAACTGTTTATATTCCTTAAATTACGATGCTTAAGTTAATTGTGAAAATATGTCATAAGCTTCTGTTGAGACTTCGCACTTCCTAAATGAGTTTAAAGGGTTTGAGATAAACAGCTACAAGCATCCTGAGAAATAGCAATCATGAGCGATCATGCCATAACTGTGATAGGCTATGTAACATAGGGTACAGTATAAAAAAGTTAGTATAGGCGATATGATAGTCTTACCTCTAGTGATTTCTGTCTGTATTGTGGTTGCTGACATGTGATTCTTATAGCCGGAGTTTGACGAAGCCTTTGGTAAAAAAAGGATAGACACTATTTCTGTAACAGTAGTCTCACTGTAAGGCTTACTTTAAATTATTTATTCTTGGCTTGGCTTCGTTGTCCGAAGATATTTATTGAATTATTTATTACTAAGTAATATAGATAATAAATACATCGAATGAGCAAAGTTATTTACAATTAGCAAAATCATGTGCGTACCTCGTCGATTTCAGTTGTACCTGGATCTGCCGTTGTCCCAGACTTTGGAACATCAAATGAAGTTCCCCAGAGCCATGTAGTAGTTGACTGAGTGATATCTTGCCCTGAATGTGACTATAAGAAACGATATCCAAAATCGCAGATGTCACTATTATGTATACATGCAGACTTTACACGCTAAATATGGGCACATGAACAACATAGTTTTCTTAGAAACGGAATCTTCCGTTTCGGAAAGTGCTTTGCTGTTTTCAACATAACAGAATGAATGCAGAATAGCAGCCACCGAAAGGTCGTCAGAGGCAAAAAATAAAGTTGCCATTTGTAAGAAAACTGTTGAATCAATCTATAAACATGATAAAACTATTCAGGGAAGTACGTTCTTAAAGGTTTGCAAGTATCGATGTTGTAACAATAATTTTGCAGTGTTTTGCTGGTGCAATAAGTAGGAACAGAAGCAGAGAGATTTTCTGTATTCACTTCGAAAGAAGCCCAGATGATGACAAAAAAAGAGCAAAGTTCCCAAAAGATTCCAACAGAGTAATCTTAACTTTCAATTAGTCTATATTCATATATTGTATGTGCTTTTTTTATGACTAGTCTATGATAAATTGAAAGCAAGGGCTGAATCGGTAAACTTACTGAGTGCTTATCCACGTCAGGAGGAAGTACCCCCGTCACCAGCAACAGTCCAACGACGATCAAGGTGGCGACAAAGATGGCGGTTGCCACAGCTTTGATATGCCGAAGCCAGCAGATCAACATGGTTGCTAAATAGATTTACCTCGCAACGTTACACTTGGTATATCATTTTACATATATGTTTCCTGTTATGTTATCTGCCGCAATACATGTAGGTCATTATTAGCTTTCTACTTGTAGAATAAACATAAATACGACAATAAAGGATCTGGCCTCTTTTTGTCTAGAAATGCCAGTATTATAACAGCAAAAGGGGCATGAAATACGTGCATTTGCTATAAAACTACATATATTAGGGAAGTATAGTTTACCTCTGTGTTCTTCATCTTGTGAAGTGCTTTTCATGGGCTCGGTTGTTTGGGATGGATCCAGACCATGTGTGACGGAACCCGAACCTCTCTCTTCTTTTACATTTTGTCTACCAGCTATCGATGTGTTGTCGATGTAGGTATAGTCGTGGTCACCAATGTATGTATAGTAGTGGTCTGTTGGGTCTTGCGAAATACTAGTATCATGATCCTCCTTGGTTTGAGTTGACTCTTCATTTTGTAAAGTGTCTTCATGGATGCTGCAGAACCTTCTTTTTGACGTTTCTATACAACATAAACGCTGTTAATTGCATCATGGCACAATGTATTTCCAACAAAAAATGTGTTATCAGAACTAGAGTCTCGCAATCTCATACCCTCACTAAATGGTGTTAACTTTTGCAATAACGTGTTCTAAAGGATTTGTTTTTGGTATCCAAATGAGGTCGTCATTTGCATAAGTTATACCAGTTAATGATATTCTCCACCAAAAACAACATGTTGTCTAAAGTATCAAATCTCATATTAGCCAAAAGGTTACGTTATTGTACAATTATTCAATTAATAAAAAAGTCCTTCTTTGGGCTCATTATGTACACCTGTGTTGTCATTTACCACTACTTTATTATACATTTTTATTAAGCAAAGAATGGACAGGTTATTAAAGCCAAAAAACAATTTTCAAAGTTAAAAAATATGAATAAAAAATAAGACACAGTCAAGAAAAGATTAACGCTAATATGTCAGTCGGTTTCTGTTGTTTGAGTACAGACATACCATTTCTTAAATGATCTTCAAAGCGTCTGGACATGTCGGTGTGATCTTCACTCAACGATGCTTCCTTTTCATTCTGACCCGGGCCACGGGCACTTTCACAGTGGGTGACTTCGAAGTGGTAAGAAACAAGGTATGGCTCGATGTTGTCGTCGTCGTTCCATCTACTAAATAGAAAAAAAATGAATTCAATACCTATTTGGGTGCAGTATGTAAAATCCTATAGCTACTGTTAGTTATATTTCCTACAAACTCTCATGCTATTGTATGTTTATATTGAATTAATTGTATTTTTCAAACTCGCTGCAACCCTGAGGCCAAATTCCAACTCATGAAATAACCCATTACATGTATGTGTGATTTTAGTGTATGTATGTTTTGCATATTACCACATTTTTTGTAAAATAATACAATGTCAATCTGAACATTTTCAATAAAATTATACATTTTAAATCTCACCTTTCGAGAACGAAGCATCTTGACACCTTGGCTCCTGTTGAGACGACGCGATCTCCCCTGGATTTTCTGCATCCAGATTCCCCAGGTGATAAGCAGTGAGATATGGCTCGATGAAGCCGTCATCATATTCATCTGTCTGTGTGGAGCAGTGAGAATTCTCCGTTTCTTCCACGCTATCGTCTGGGGCGTGAGTGTCTTCACCATTAGACGAGCCTTCTACTACAGACATCATGGCAGATTGGTGACCTCTTGCTAACAGTTTTGTTGTTTAATCTGCGGTTTCTACTTTTTAGAAGAGGTAATGGTAATCTTCTACCTCCCTTCTCTGCTTTATACCAGTCAGAACGACGCAACAGTTTTAAATGCTCTAAAGCTAAACCTTCGAATAGTTTTTCAATATATGAAATAGTCTACTGTTCTATTTAATGGTAGCTGATATATGATATATATATAACACTGAAGGCAGGTCAATTGTATGCACAAATCTTATATAAGTAAATGAATTGCTTCCAGACGCATCTAGCATGATGTTATTGTCTGCAATGAAAAATTGGATATAGATTATTTTTGAGAATTGCTAATACTACGTTTATTCAACAAAAGAGACGTATTTAGATGGACCGAAAATGTGTTAGGTTCTAGCCATTGTATCTTGAAATTAGTCTGACTCATCATCTTAACATCTACGACAAGTACAATTTTTAAACTGTAAAAACATTTTTACTTTGTTTTGTAGAAATATGGCCTTTCTGAGCAAAATTTGGAAGAAATATTTAAGAAGTAGTTCCAAAAATATATCGGGTGTACAATTACAAAATCCCTTTTCTGGTCTGCTAGAGAGTACAGTTCGGGTGCGGCATGGGTGTGTATATTTTGATACCCCCAACACAAAAACAGGTGTAATAAAATGTAGAACTTTATTACAACACACAATTTACAGAGAGTTAAAATTTCAGCGACCACTATCACCTTCATCAGGATAATTAATGACCAATCACTTCACAACGTGATCTCATGAGATGGTGGACGATATAAACTTCCTGGCAATTTTGATCAATTGCTTACGTCACGTATCAGTAAAGTCTCATGTGAATAAGGTCACGTGTTTGTAAACCTTAACTCTCGCGAGATCACGAAGTGATTGGTCATTAATTATCCTGATGAAGACGACAGTGGTCGCTGAAAATTTGATCTCTCTGTAAATTGTGTGTTGGAATAAAGTTCAAAGTTGTACTGTAATTATTACTAACACAGATGAACTTTCATGATAATACAAGAACAAGTGTTTGGTACCACTGTTGAGGCGCATTCTTTTCCCCTGACGTGACACATTAGCTGGCGCCTGGTCTGTGCTTAGTCACCGTCAACAGAACCCGGTCTACTGTTCAACCATGAAGACCCTTCATTCTTGCCAAGCTTTCCCCGTGGAAAGATTGTCTGCTTTCAACAGAGCCAAGCTGGTGGTTATATATCAACACGTCAGCATGATGTGGACTATCTGTGAACTCTGGGGTGGGGTGGGGGTAGAAAAGTTTGACCACATTTTCTGAACTCTCAGTTTAGTGCATATTAGACACATTAAATAGTTTGTAGCTAGACCGTTCACCAGTTTTAGAAGCCAATTGACGAAGCCAACACACGGCTAAAAATTTTAATTAACGAAGGTACCGACCTGTCCAAGGTGTTGAAAGATAGTCTCACACCTCAACATACTAAATGTTAATCGTCGTACGTATACATACCTCCGTACAATGGTTTTCTATGTAAGTAGCAGGTCTGGTATTCAATTTGTCTGTGTGTTTTTTTGTGCCTCCTTAGTTATTTTCTGATGCTAGCCACGTCGGACTTAAAGGTCCCACAAATAGTGCCTTATAGGAATCACTGGAAATAATGCATCGACAGAATCAGTGAGAAATTTACAAAAATTCTAAATATTTCACGAAGGTATGAAATCGACGATTTCTTGTCATCTGGTTTCCTCAGCGGAAAAAAAAACAAGTCGGCCACGGGGGTTTGATGATGCGATTCACAAAGTCTGGCCTAAAAAGACTGCCAACACCACTTGTTCTGCCTAATCCCAGTGAAAGGCACTGGTATGCTCGTGTCAACAGCGGGACGAGGAACAAAATAACTTGTAAACATTCATGCAGAACGCGCGGCAAACCCGGGCTTACTTTGGAAATTAATTTAGCTTAAATGTAAAATTCTGCTTGGACATTTCAGATTTTCATGTAGCAGTGGGTCACACCTAGGCTGTATAAACGGTTGATTTTCAGGTTACCTGGTGCAATGGAGTATATTTGGTAGGCAATGGGGTGTAAACGTGTCACTGGTGGGTTAACAATGAGAAGGACCGACTGAACAAAAACATTGACTTTTCCCATGACGACACAGGGAAGTAGCTTCGAGTAAGAGTCGTTTCCTCGGCACCTGAAGAGCGATAGGGACGGTTACCGCTCGGAGTCGCTCAAATGTACTATTTCTCGACATATCTGCACGTAAAGACGTGAATTTGGGCACCGAAGGTAGCATGAAGACCGCCCGGGAATTCCCGGTATCCGATAAGCGTTGGATGACGGCTGTCTTCCTTCTGCTCTGCCTTACACCAACTATAACAGGTGAGTGTGGTTTTTAGTTTCCTCGTTGATCGTTCAGTGTATAGGCACCCAAAGGTATCGCACACAATCCTTCCCTAATATACATTGGTATCCCAGCCCAATTAGCTAGTTAACATACCCAGCTATATGTATCCTGTCAGATCCGTACAGGTACTGATGAGATTAACATTGCAATAAGATACACGTACATAATGAACTTGGCTAAATAGACGTTTGGAATTTCATTTTGTAATGATGAGTCTTGCTACTACGGTTTTATATGGTTTTGACATTTTTATGCCCAGCCTGGTTTTAGAATGTTGTAATTTTTCTACTTTAGCGACTGTATCATACGAGGATCTCTTTACCAAGGAGGAAGGTCACTTTTTCGGTGATTCGTCTGACCACATAACAGCGTACGACAACATAGACGCAGAAGAGTGTGCCCGCCGCTGTCTGCAAGATCACGGCGGCTATGATGACGTCAATCCGACATGTCTGTCCTTCAACCATCGCCCTGCCGGATCGCCAGAGGGCGGCAGTGCACGGTGTTGGATCAGTAGTTCTGACAAGGACACGGCGGCATCTCCTGGTCCTGAGTGGGACAGTTGGCCTTACCGAAATTACTACCAGAGGAAACGTAAGTATGTTCATTAAACTTCGATTTGACAACTACCTATTTTTTGATATTCTATTATGACCTCTTCTGTATGTTTTTGTAAATATAGAACATTTATAGAACACGACAAAAACAGTTACTCAAGAAATTGGATATGATTTCGGATGATTTGGGCGCATTTATCTGTGTGTTTACTTAAGTTTCTCAGCTGGACTACAGGAAAGAACGGCCGAAAGAACTAGTTAAAAGAAAGGTCCTAAGAAGTATTACTGTAACAATATTTCTTGTCCAATTTTCTGCTATATGCACTTCTTGTTATGGGAGCAGTATGTAAAATGCAAAGACAGAATCAGCGAGATCAAGAGAGACAAAAGTGGTTTTAAAAATTACGGATGTGTAAGATTCACATAACAGCAGGCGCTAATTATATATATAATTCTCTATTATTTCCAGACATTCTGGCGCCCCAAGATTGTACTGACGTGTTCGCACTCGGGATTCAGTACAGTCATGTTTACACCATCGGCCACCCACAACCATTCCAAGCCTACTGTGACATGGACACTGATGGCGGAGGCTGGACGGTCATACAGCGGCGTCAGGACGGGTCTGTGCCGTTTGACAGGACTTGGACTGAGTACGAGCAGGGATTCGGCAATTCTAGTGGGGAATACTGGCTGGGATTGGGGAACATTCACAGCCTGACAATACAGAAACAAAACGAACTGTACGTGTACTTGGAAGACTGGGAAACGAACAGCCGGTTTGCGCGGTACAGCACGTTTTCTGTGGGAGATGCCAGCAGCAAGTACACGGCAACAATCGGCGGGTACAGCGGGGATGCAGGTGATAGTTTGGACCCGTCCACTACACGTCACAGCATCAACAGCAGACAGTTTTCTACAACAGACCAGGATAACGACGGTATCAGTACCGACTGTGCGCGTCGATTCGGACAAGGAGGCTGGTGGTACACTCCAAGTTGTGGCAGGGCCATGTTGAACGGGCAGTATCTGACAGGCTGCTCAGTACCTTCAGCTTACTGCTCCAGTGCAGATGGAATCATCTGGTACACTTGGTTGGGCTACAATTATTCAATGAAGAAAACGGTCATGATGATCAGACCAGCTGATTTTCCAGGTACGTGTTTTAGTCATTACTTATCACTTTGTGTATTCTATATTCTCATTGATACAGGAAAAGTGAAATAAAAAAAAATAAGAAATGTAATTGACTACCATCATCATGACGTTATGTTCAGTGTACATGTGTTAGAGCTCTTACCATATGTCGTACTACATTTCCTAATAGTGTCATCATTCAGACCATGTGAGAATGGGAGAAACCTGACATCTGGACCGGAGGATTCCGGACTGTTCATCTGTGCATGTCCTGCAGGGTGGAATGGCACGTTTTGTGATAAGGGTAATTAAAATGCAATATTTTTAAAAACGATATGCGTACACATATATACATACATAATACCTAATGTAAGTTTTTTGGTTGTTAAAAGTCTAAAAGTTAAACTTTTGGTCACATTTTTGTTGATCATGTTTAAGCAACAATTGCACCTTTGTCCGTTAGGAATGTAACCCGGGTAAACCCAGACTTGGCCGACTTGGCTCTGAATTTGTAGAATACTGGCTGTATGGATTAAAAGTTTAATTTTCAGTACTATGGGTCTTAATCCGGCCTAATCTAAGTGTCCGTTAAATAAAAAATATCGTGATCCGGTCATTCCCTCTTAATATAGTAAACACACACACACACACACACACACACACACACACACACACACATACGTGCACACACACAGACACACATGCACACAGACACATACATACATGCATACATACAGACACACATGCACACAGATACACACACGACAGTGCCCAAATACGCCGTATAGTAGCTAAAGGCTTTTCTAATTGTAACTTAAGCATTGCAGACTATATAACCGTAAAAGTTGAATATTAAGAGATAGAGCGTAGTATCCATTCAAACCACATAGTAACAAGGTGCATATTATGGGATAAACAATAATATTAGGTGTTTATGTGTGACGTTGAAGGTCTACATTTTCTTATTTTAGCCTGCTCGTCTGGTGAGTTTGGACCCGACTGTACCGGTACCTGTCACTGTGCGAGCGGAGATTCCGTGTGTGACATCCGGACTGGAGTGTGTTCTAGTGGAGGGTGTGAAGCCGGGTGGAAGGGAATCAACTGTCAGACAGGTGATTTATGTTTTTCCCTTGTTTTAATGCATTACATTCTAGTGTGAAGTTAAAAGAGCGATTGAGTCTTAACGTTTTCTAATATTGAGACCTACATAATACGTTTTACTTTACAGTTTGCTCCCTTGGTGAGTTTGGTGCAGACTGTACCGGCACCTGTCACTGTGCGAGCGGAGATTCCGTGTGTGACATCCGGACTGGAGTCTGCTCTAGTGGAGGGTGTGAGGCTGGATGGTTGGGAAGCAACTGTCAGACAGGTGATTGATTTGTCTCATTTGTGACGGGTGTGCCCAGACATGGAGCAAGCAATATATGTTATTCTGCAACATTATAATCCCATTATCGTATTATTACAATTTTATAATATGTTGTCAGAGATCACTGTTAGAAGTGTTTTTAATAGTCATTTATTATTATGTTTGATATAGACCTGAAGGTATTTTCATTTATTTATGTACTTAATAATATTTAATTTTTAATTTGATGTACATTTCTTAGAGTGTCATGACGGCTTGTACGGAGCCGGCTGTACCCAAACCTGTCACTGTGCAGCCGGACCAACAGCCTGTAACAAGACGACTGGGGTATGTACTGGAGGGTGTCTGGACTTCTGGGCTGGGGACTCTTGTCAAACACGTGAAGGTACTACTGACAGTAAAATTTAACACTGACAGTTCTTAGGGTATAGACACACACACTCCGCAGCGTCGAAAACAATAAGATCGTCAGCTTATCCCACCCATTGTAGCTAGATCGCATTAGGGCTACGTGTAGGGCCAGTGTTACACGCAATACATAGATAGATCGCATGAGGGCTACTTGAGTTACACTGCATATCCTGGGAATGAGAGTAGACGGGCGGGGTTAGATTGCTCTGACGTATCAGGGGACGACCTTCGCAAACAGACCTTGGTACGGGATGGCTGCTATTTCCGCCGCAGCGTCGAAAACAATAAGATCGTCAGCTTACCCCACCCATTGTAGCTAGATCGCATGAGGGCTACGAGTGTTACATGCAATACATAGATAGATCGCCTGAGGGCTACTTGAGTTACACTGCATATCCTGGGAATGAGAGTAGACGGGGCGGGGTTAGATTGACGAATCTGGGGACGACCTTCGCAAACAGACCTGGGTACGGGATGGCTGCTATAGAATGCATAAGATACCTGTCAACATCCTGAATAAATAAAATAAATACATATTGACATGTCAATGAAAACCTTTGTGTGGATATCTAGTGCAATCGCAAATACGGTTTTAATTGATGAAGGTTAGACATCCATATGAATGGTACCCATGGGTTTTTAAAATTCTAATACTGGATAAATTGTGGAGACTTTGAATGAAGCTTTTCACAAGCTCTGTTGATTTTACAATGTTATAACGTTTTTGCTTTAGATACTGTCCCGTGGTCAGATCTCTTTTTTAAGGATGTAGGTCGCTTCTTCGGTGACTCTCCGGACCTCATAACGGCATACAACGACATAGACACAGAAGAATGTGCCCGTCGCTGTCTGCAAGGTTATGGCAGCTATGATGGCGTCAATCCGACATGTCTGTCCTTCAACCATCGCCCTGCCGGATCGCCAGAGGGCGGCAGTGCACGGTGTTGGCTCCGTAGTTCTGACACGGACACGGCGGCATCTCCTGGTCCTGAGTGGGACAGTTGGCCTCACCGAAATTACTACCAGAGGAAACGTAACAATGCCATTTACTGTTTTATTTGACAGCTACCCATATGACCTATTTTTTATGTTTTTGTAAATATAGAAAATAATAAAATCTCACCAATACTGCTTAAACATGGACGGTCTCATTACCCTGCAAAGGGTACCGATCGACCAAGATTTAAGGTGAATATAAAAGTAATGTAAACTTCAATGCCTTTCATGTCTTCGTTTTCTCAATGTTTCATGGAAACAACATTTCATACTTTTGTAATATTATTTCTCAGTGTATCTCAAAGAAAATGGTCATGGTGTTATAAAACATCCCCTTTAACATTAGTACCTAAATGTACTGAAGTTTTTTTTGGTACGTTTATCTGCGTGTTTACTTAAGTTTTCGTACTGGGTTCGAGGACTATACTCACAGGTAATAACTAGATCAAATGTCCTTAAAAGTATTATACTATCTCCCGACCAATTTTTTTTGCTATATGCGTGCTTTTTGTAATGGGAGCCAGTATGAAAGATACAGACAAAATTAGCGAGAAATTCACAAGATCTATAGAAACAAGTTTTAAAAATCTAATATGCATGAGCTATTCGATACAGTCAACAACAGGAGCCTATTCTCTATCGTTTCCAGACATCCTGGCGCCCCAAGATTGTGCTGACGTGTTCGCACTCGGGATTCAGTACAGTCATGTTTACACTATCGGCTACCCACAACCATTCCAAGCCTACTGTGACATGGACACTGATGGCGGTGGGTGGACGGTCATACAGCGGCGTCAGGACGGGTCTGTGCCGTTTGACAGGCCTTGGACTGAGTACGAGCAGGGATTCGGCAATACTAGTGGAGAATATTGGCTGGGATTGGGGAACATCCACAGTCTGACAACACAGAAACAAAACGAACTGTACGTGTACCTGGAAGACTGGGAAACGAACAGCCGATTTGCGCGGTACAGCACGTTTTCTGTGGGAGATGCCAGCAGCAAATACACGTCAACGATCGGCGGATACAGCGGGGATGCTGGTGATAGTTTGTACAATTCCAATTCACGTCACGGCATCAACACCAGACAGTTTTCTACAACAGACCAAGATAACGACGGCGTCAGTACCGACTGTGCTGCTACATTCGGACAAGGAGGCTGGTGGTACACTCCAAGTTGTGGTTACGCCTTGTTGAACGGACAGTATCTGACAGGATGCTCAGTACCTGCTCCACCGTCCTGCTCCCATGCAGATGGGATCGTCTGGAGCACTTGGTTGGGTCACAGATATTCAATAAAGAAAACAGTCATGATGACCAGACCAGCTGATTTTCCTGGTACGTGTTTTAGTCATTACGTATCACTTTGTGTATTCTATATTCTCATTGATACAGGAAAAGTTAAATAAAAGAAATAAGAAATGTAATTGATTACCATCACCGTGACGTTATGTTTGAATTAGTGTGTTAAAATGTTTACTATATGCCGTACTACATTTCCTAATAGTGTCATCATTCAGACCATGTGAGAATGGGGGAAACCTGACATCTGGACCGGAGGATTCCGGACTGTTCGTCTGCGCATGTCCTGCAGGGTGGAATGGCACGTTTTGTGATCAGGGTAATTAAAATGCAACATTTTTAAAAACGATATGCCTACACATATATGCATACTTAATAACTAACTATGTAAGTTTTTTGGTTGTTAAAAGTCTAAAAAATAACCTTTTGGTCACATTTTTGTTGATTATGTTTACGCAACAATTGCACCTTTGTCCGTTAGGAATGTAACCCGGGTAAACCCAGACTTGGCCGACTTGGCTCTGAATTTGTAGAATACTGGCTGTTGTATGGATTAAAAGTTTAATTTGCAGTACTATGGGTCTTAATCCAGCCAAATCTAAGTGTCCGTTAAATAAAAAATATCGTGATCCGGTCATTCCCTCTTAATATAGTAAACACACACACACACACACACACACATACATACAACATACACAGATACATAAACATACACGCAGAAACACATACGCACAAACACACACACACAAACACACCAGAAACGCACAAACACACACAAACACACAAACACACACACAGACACACACAGAGAGACACAAACACACACACACACACACACACACACATACGTGCACACACACAGACACACATGCACACAGACTCATACATACATGCATACATACAGACACACATGCACACAGATACACACACGACAGTGCCCAAATACGCCGTATAGTAGCTAAAGGCTTTTCTAATTGTAACTTAAGCATTGCAGACTATATAACCGTAAAAGTTGAATATTAAGAGATAGAGCGTAGTATCCATTCAAACCACATAGTAACAAGGTGCATATTATGGGATAAACAATAATATTAGGTGTTTATGTGTGACGTTGAAGGTCTACATTTTCTTATTTTAGCCTGCTCGTCTGGTAAGTTTGGACCCGACTGTACCGGCACCTGTCACTGTGCGATCGGAGATTCCGTGTGTGACATCCGGACTGGAGTCTGTGCTAGTGGAGGGTGTGAGGCTGGGTGGAAAGGAAGCAACTGTCAGACAGGTGATTTATGTTTTCCCTTGTTTTAATACATTACATTCTAGTGTGAAGTTAAATGAGCGATTGAGTCTTAACGTTTTCTAATATTGAGACCTACATAATACGTTTTTACTTTACAGTGTGCTCCCTTGGTGAGTTTGGGCCTGGCTGTACCGGCACCTGTCGCTGTGCGAGCGGAGATTCCGTGTGTGACATCCGGACTGGAGTCTGCTCTAGTGGAGGGTGTGAGGCTGGGTGGAAGGGAAGCAACTGTCAGACAGGTGATTGATTTGTCTCATTTGTGACGGGTGTGCCCAGACATGGAGCAAGCAATATATGTTATTCTGCAACATTATAATCCCATTATCGTATTATTACAATTTTATAATATGTTGTCAGAGATCACTGTTAGAAGTGTTTTTAATAGTCATTTTTTATGTTTGATATAGACCTGGAGGTATTTTCATTTATTTATGTACTTAATAATATTTAGTATTTAATTTTTAATTTGATGTACATTTCTTAGAGTGTCATGACGGCTTGTACGGAGCCGGCTGTACCCAAACCTGTCACTGTGCATCCGGACTAACAGCCTGTAACAAGACGACTGGAGCCTGCACTGGGGCATGTCATAACCTATGGACTGGAGATTCGTGTCAAACACGTAAAGGTACTATTAACAGTAACATTTAACACTGAATTGGTGAATGATGCATAAGATAACTGTCACAATCCCGAATCAATATAATAAACACATATCGAAATGTCAATGAAAACGTTCGTGGATACCTAGTGAAATCGCAAATAGGGATTAAATCTATATTGATTAGCGTAAGGCATCCAGGTACACGGTACCATGCGGTTTTTAAATTCTAATACTGGATAAATTATGGAGATTTTCAAAGAAACTTTACACAAGAGTTCTGTTGGCTTCATTACGTTATAACGTTTTTGCTTTAGATACTGTCCCGTACGCAGATCTCTTTATTAAGGAGGAAGGTCGCTTCTTCGGTGATTCTCCAGACCACATAACAGCATATAACGACATAGACGCAGAAGAGTGTGCCCGTCGCTGTCTGCAAGGCTACGACAGCTATGATGGCGTCAATCCGACCTGTCTGTCCTTCAACCATCGCCCTGCCGGATCGCCAGAGGGCGGCAGTGCACGGTGTTGGCTCAGTAGTTCTGACAAGGACACGGTGGCATCTCCTGGTCCTGAGTGGGACAGTTGGCCGTACCGAAATTACTACCAGAGGAAACGTAAGTATGCCAATTACTCTTTTATTTGACAGCTACCTATATGACCTATTCTTTTTTTTTGTAAATATAGAAAACAATACTCACCAATACTGCTTAAATGTGGACGGTCTCATTACCCTGCAAAGGGTACCGATTGACCAAGATTTAAGGTGAATATAAAAGAAAGCTTCAATGCCTTCCATGTCTTCGTTTTCTCAATGTTTCATGGAAACAACATTCCATACTTTTGTAATACTATTTCTCAGTGTATCTCAAAGAAAATGGTCATGGTGTTATAAAACATCCCCTTTAACATTAGTACCTGCATGTACTGAAGTTTTGTTTTCGGTGCGTTTATCTGCGTGTAAGTTTTTGTACTAGGTTCGAGGACTATACTCACATGTAATAACTAGATCAAATGTCCTTAAAAGTATTATACTATTTCTCGACCAATTTTTTTTGCTATATGCGTGCTTTTTGTAATGGGAGCCAGTATGAAAGATACAGACAAAATTAGCGAGAAATTCACAAGATCTATAGAAACAAGTTTTAAAAATCTAATATGTATGAGCTATTCGATACAGTCAACAACAGGAGCCTATTCTCTATCATTTCCAGACATCATTTCGCCCCAAGATTGTACTGACGTGTTCGCACTCGGGATTCAGTACAGTCATGTTTACACCATCGGCCACCCGCAACCATTCCAAGCCTACTGTGACATGGACACTGATGGCGGTGGGTGGACGGTCATACAGCGGCGTCAGGACGGGTCCGTGCCGTTTGACAGGACTTGGACTGAGTACGAGCAGGGATTTGGTAATGTCAGTGGAGAATACTGGCTGGGATTGGGGAACATCCACAGTCTGACAACACAGAAACAAAACGAACTGTACGTGTACTTGGAAGACTGGGAAATGAACAGCCGATTTGCGCGGTACAGCACGTTTTCTGTGGGAGATGCCAGCAGCAAGTACACGGCAACGATTGACGGGTACAGCGGGGATGCAACTGATAGTTTGGACCCGTCCAATACACGTTCCAGCATCAACAACAGACAGTTTTCTACAACAGACCAGGATAATGCCGGTGCCTCTGTCAACTGTGCTGTTACATTCGGACAAGGAGGCTGGTGGTACACTATAAATTGTGGTTACGCCTTGTTGAACGGACAGTATCTGACAGGTTGCTCAGTACCTTCAGCTTCCTGTCCGCACGCAGATGGAATCGTCTGGTACACTTGGTTGGGCTACAGTTATTCAATGAAGAAAACAGTCATGATGATCAGACCAGCTGATTTTCCTGGTAGGCATTTATTAATAAAAGTCATATCTAAATACTTCTCATCCTCTCTACTAGTATTTTCCTTCATACAGGAAAGGGTGCAAAAAAATCAAAAGAATATTGCTGTATACAAAGATCATTACAACAGTGTCATTTTCTGTCATACTACTTTGCTTTACAGCATCATCATTTAGACCATGTAAGAATGGGGGAAACCTGACATCTGGACCAGAGGATTCCGGACTGTACATCTGTGCATGTCCCACAGGGTGGAATGGCACCTTTTGTGAATACGGTAATTAAATGCATGTTTACATACAATATGCATATACGTGCAGTATTAATACACACATAATACATTATGGAAATGGGCTTTTTTGACATGGGGGGACCGGGGGGCTCTTTTGACCCCCCCCCCAAGAACTCGCGAACGGTATGTCGTATGACCACCAAATTTTTTAGAGGACGGTGTACTAGTGAAAATTTATCATATCTACAATTTTTATGTCGTTATGACGTAATTAATGTGATTTTATTGGCCAAAACCGTCTAAATAGGTTTTCCCTGAAAACTAAATGGTATTCAACATAACTGTACCAAAACTGTTTATGACAGAATATTATGGTGTAGTCTTATGTTACCCATAGCAACACCGGTGACGTAATAAAATGACGTCATGCATATCTAAGATATCCGCCATCTTGGATCATCAATCTTGAATTTTCAAAAATAGTTTTCTTTTATGATAAAGCCTAAAATACATTGTAAACATACTAAAGACCTTCATTTAAACCTTTTTTTTGGAAAAAGAAATGGAAGTATTGATGAAATTTTAATAAAAATAACCTGTATATACCTGTTCTACTGATATGGTCCGCCATCTTGGATTTTGGCCAATGACGTCATCAAATTTGCATAAATTATGCATATTTAATGATAAAATTTACATAAAATTATATGGGATGTTATTAATATTAGAAACCATGAGTAACTTGACATAAAACCCACAGAATTCTATTGTTGAAACAAAAAGTACTAAATTTAGCAAAAAATGCCTGTCAGAAACCCGTTGCCATGGCAACAAAAAAAATAAGCCTTTTCGCAATTACTAGTGCGCCTGCGCGGAGTTTACTTAGCGACCCAGAATTGGAGATAAACAAACCCGCGGCCGCCATTGTTCCCAATTATCTTATTCCAATGATATGGAATTGTTGCCAACAATATTCTAGGAAAAGTCACCAAGTTTGGCCGTTGTACGGCTAGCCGTTCAGACGCTAGGTGACATCAAAGTTGGCGCGGGCACTTTTAGCCCCCCCCCGGTCTAGGTAGGGTTAAACGAAAGTCTGAAACGACCTTTTGGCCCATTTTTTAATCACAAACGTTATGATTAGGCCACCATGACACAGGCTGTTGTCAGCCGTTGTTGTTGTCGACAAAATATCCCGTATATATAGTACCTACCGGCTTTTCCAATTGTAACTTAAGCACTACTGACCGTTATAGTCGTAAAAGTTGAATGACAGGTACAGTGTAGAGGTATCCATTCATACCGTTATGAGGTACATATTATGAGATAAAAAATAACATTCGGTACTTATGTGTGACATTGAAGGTCTGTCTTTTCTTGTTTTAGCGTGCTCCTCTGGTGAGTTCGGACCGGACTGTAGCGGCACCTGTCACTGTGCTCGCGGAGATTCCGTGTGTGACATCCGGACTGGAGTCTGCTCTAGTGGAGGGTGTGAGGCTGGATGGAATGGGAACAACTGTCAAACAGGTGGTTATCAATGCATTACATTCTAGTTTAAAGTTACTAAGAGTGATTAACTCTTAACGTATTCTTTATTATGGTTGCTAAATATTCTAAGTTTTTAAATTGTTTTCTTTCAAGCATGCTCGCCCGGTACGTTTGGGCCCAACTGTACCGGCACCTGTCACTGTGCAAGCGGAGATTCCGTGTGTGACATCCGGACTGGAGTCTGCTCTAGTGGAGGGTGTGAGGCCGGGTGGAAGGGGAACAACTGTCAGAAAGGTGATCGTTTTATTTTATCACATTAGTTTCTTACAGTGAGTCCAGAAAGACAGGGCTTGAAATAAAACGTTTTCTAATCATTAGATATTTACCAGGTTTAATAAACGTTGTTATTACTTTATTTACAGTTTTCTTACCTCGAGAGTTACATACATATCTTAAATGTATGTTTAACTTGTTTTTTCGTTGTCTTTCTTCATAGTGTGCTCACTTGGAGAGTTTGGGCCGAACTGTACCGGCACTTGCCACTGTGCTCGCGGAGATTCCGTGTGCGACATCCGGACTGGAGTCTGCTCTAGTGGAGGGTGTGAAGCGGGATGGAATGGGGACAACTGTCAGACAGGTGATCGTTTTGTATTTTGTCACATTAATTTTTTGCGGTAAGTCCAGAAAGACAAGGCTTGAAGTAAAACGTTTTCTAATCATTAGATATTTAGCAGGTTTGATAAACTTTTTTATTACTTTCTTTACAGCGTGCTCACCTGGAGAGTTTGGACCCAACTGTACCAGCACCTGTCACTGTGCGAGCGGAGATTCCGTGTGTGACATCCGGACTGGAGTCTGCTCTAGTGGAGGGTGTGAGGCCGGATGGAAAGGGGAAAACTGTCAAATAGGTGATTTATGTTGATTTATATTTATGGCATTGTATTCTGGCCAAGAGAAGAAAGTAGTTGAGTCAAACCTTTTTTGTCACATTGTTTTGTGCCAGTGAGTCAAGAAAGACAAAGCTTGAGTTTAAACGTTTTCCAATATTTTTAATTTTAAATGTGTAATGTAATCTGTTATTACCTTCTTTACAGCGTGCTCACCTGGAGAGTTTGGACACAACTGTTCCGACACCTGTCACTGTGCCAGCGGAGATTCCGTGTGTGACATCCGGACTGGAGTCTGCTCTAGTGGAGGGTGTGAAGCCGGATGGAAAGGGGTCAACTGCCAGACAGGTGATTTATGTTGAACGAACATGTCGTACATGTGTAGTCTGGCTTGGTCAAATGATAGCAAAAATATTTATTTAACCTTAGTGCTGTCTGAAAGTAATGCACATTAAATACATTATATTTATTAAATGCTGTACGTTAGTATATGATATGTTTATTGTAATCCTAAACATGTCTAATACGGTTTGCTATACTTGTTCTCTTTATAGTGTGTTCACCGGGTGAGTTCGGGCCCAACTGTAGCGGCACCTGTCGCTGTGCGAGCGGAGATTCCGTGTGTGACATCCGGACTGGAGTCTGCTCTAGTGGAGGGTGTGAAGCCGGATGGAAAGGGGTCAACTGCCAGACAGGTGATTTATGTTGAACGAACATGTCGTACATGTGTAGTCTGGCTTGGTCAAATGATAGCAAAAATATTTATTTAACCTTAGTGCTGTCTGAAAGTAATGCACATTAAATACATTATATTTATTAAATGCTGTACGTTAGTATATGATATGTTTATTGTAATCCTAAACATGTCTAATACGGTTTGCTATACTTGTTCTCTTTATAGTGTGTTCACCGGGTGAGTTCGGGCCCAACTGTAGCGGCACCTGTCGCTGTGCGAGCGGAGATTCCGTGTGTGACATCCGGACTGGAGTCTGCTCTAGTGGAGGGTGTGAAGCCGGATGGAAGGGACGCAATTGCCAGACTGGTAATTCATGTTTTTTCTATTATTTTGATACATTCGGATCTAGAGGTAAAATACTGCTTAGCCTGGACGTACTCCACTTAGACACTTATTCAAAACGTTATTAAATTGTTTTCTTTAATAGCGTGCTGGTCTGGAGAGTTTGGGCCCAATTGTACGGGCAATTGTCACTGTGCGAGCGGAGATTCCGTGTGTGACATTCGGACTGGAGTCTGCTCTAGTGGAGGGTGTGAGGCCGGATGGAAGGGGGACAACTGTCAGACAGGTGATTTATGTTAATTTATCACATTGAATTGTGGTCATGAGAAAAGATAATGCTTGATGCAAATCATTTTGCTACATCTTAAAATCCTAAATGTTTATTTGTTTCTTTATAGTATGTTCGCCTGGTGAGTTTGGGCCCAACTGTACCAATACCTGTAACTGTGCTCGCGGAGATTCCGTGTGTGACATCCGGACTGGAGTCTGCTCTAGTGGAGGGTGTGAGGCTGGATGGAAGGGGGACAACTGTCAGACAGGTGATTTATGTTAATTTATCACATTGAATTGTGGTCATGAGAAAAGATAATGCTTGATGCAAATCATTTTGCTACATCTTAAAATCCTAAATGTTTAACTTGTTTATTTGTTTCTTTATAGTATGTTCGCCTGGTGAGTTTGGGCCCAACTGTACCAATACCTGTAACTGTGCTCGCGGAGATTCCGTGTGTGACATCCGGACTGGTGTCTGCTCTAGTGGAGGGTGTGAGGCTGGATGGAAGGGGAACAACTGTCAGACAGGTGATTTAGGTTGCTTAACAGAGTATAGGTACGGTTGCTTTGTGCAGACGTATGGCGAGTTCAAGGACCAAAAATCCGATAGACCCATATTTATGATACCATATCCGATTCGTCCTTTAGATTGTGATGACGGTTATTACGGCCAAAACTGCGCCAAACGCTGCGGAGTCTGTGTAACAGGGACAACCTGTGAGAAAGCCGACGGCAGATGTTCTGGATGCGAGGACCCTTGGGTTGGAGACACCTGTAAAATGGGCAAGTGCGCCTACGCTCTTTGTAATATACAATTGCAGTTCGGAACATTGCACCATTGGTGAGTGAGGATCTACTAAACACTTCCCGTCTAAGAAAGCGATTGCAAATAAATTTGATGACCAGATCACAGACGACGCCTAGAAAAGACACTATAATGGGATCTTTAGAATTAGGTATGATGATTTTCATATATTCAAATGGTGTTTTTATATTATTGCAGTACCCGCAACAACATTAGACCATCCGGATAGCTTCACGGTGGCTATTCATGATAAAGCAACCTTCAGCTGCACCGGTCGTGGTGTTCCCGCCCCTACTGTTGTCTGGCATCACGATGGCGAAGTCATCACACCGGGAGACCAAGTCAGTGTAGAAACTACATATGGAGGTCTAGTGGGAGAACAACACGTGACCAACAGTACCTTAACCATTACGTCAGCACGTCCACACGATAGCGGACAGTACGTCTGTATGATGTCTAACACAGCAGGGGTCGGCACGTCACAGGAAGCTGCACTTGTAGTGCAAGGTACGGAAACCATAAACATTTCGATGAATCTTGCAAGACTGTAAGATAGTTCACAGGTGTTTGGACATAACTTATAACTTATTCTAAACGAGGGTGTTGTAGCTCCGTAGGCGTAGTTGAACAAGAAATCATAGATTACTGACCTTAATGAATGTTTGATTTTTTTAAAATCTAACAATCGAGAAGAATGGCAAAAGCTTTGAACAGCCTAGGGTTAAAGGGTCGGTTCCATTCCAAACTTTGCCTGCTTAAAGTATCCTTATAAAAAGAAAACAGAAACTTTCTTGACTCTTAGGAAATTTCAATTGTTCTCTGTATTCACACTAGAGCACGTGGCCGCTTCGAAGTCTATTGAGCCAATAGGTCCAGAATTTGAGGATACATTATGTACTATTTATCATATTCAGTATTTTTAATCCATACCTTGAATTGTTTGACCAGTTAATCCTGTGGTCAGCATACGCCCCTCAGAGGTACAAAATCTGGTAGTTGGAGAAGTCATTTCCATCACATGTAACACAAAAAGACGTTCCAGTGATTATACCTACCAGTGGACAGTCGATGGAGCAGTTGTACCAAACCAGAGAGGCGCTGTATTCAGGTTAGTACGGAACAGTTGTGCGTGGCATTCTTTATTCAGACCTACTGCATGATCGTAATTACATATAAAAGAAGCCATTTCTATTAAAACATAAACAAATGCAGACAAGGTGACGACACACTCAAGTTACATCGGGGAATAATAATTACTGATGAATTGTTATCGATAGATGTAATGCCTTATATGAAGACAATCCATATTAATTTTCCTTAATATATGTAATTTTGTTACGTGTATATCTGCTGCAGATATAAAGCTGTAAGTGGTGTTCATAAGGTCAGGTGCAAAGTGACAAGTCCAAGTGGTGAGGCAGAGTCTGAAGACAGCACCATCAGCGTGCTTCCAAAAGGTTTGTACTCTGGCTTCTCTTGTTTGTACTCTTGATTAGACGGTGAATATAGCCATGGTGGGTCCCAACCTTCTTTATTGGTTGCATGAGCCTATCCTTTCACAACATTTTATGTGGGTGAATGTGGTGATTTGGGCATGCAGTACAATTATGGGCATGCTATTTCCGTTGGAATGTAAAGCTAATCATGCAACGATAATCTAAACTTATTTACAGTAAGATTATAGAGAACCCATGATGTCTTAATATGCTGGTATGCTAGTATCAAAATATTAGTACTTAAAAGTACTTAATAAAAACTGTAGTCCCATGTGTTACCCCAGGAACCGTGACATTTGTTTCCAGCATGAGGATAACTGGTAGAAACTTCACCCCTGAAATGGAAAATCCTGAGTCAGCTGCGTTCCAGAGCATAAGCACCGAGATCAAGGATTGGGTATGGAGATAAGTCTAACCTGAAAAGTTTATAAAAACTTGAATTCGGTCGATCATATCATGATCAATAAAATGGGACTGCGTGAGTGGGTCACGTTTATTTTGGTATTTCATTTATTAATTAATTTGTATCATATAGCATTGTAGATCGTACTTATTATAATATACTTGTGCAATGATAATAAATTGACATGGTTTTCTTTAAGTTGATCAAGGCTTTAAAACTGGTGACTCAACGTCCCTTCTTAAGGCAGAATGTAATAATAATGTGCAGTTCAAGAAGCTTGAGGTAAATTTGTTTAGTGATGACTAGGTTGAGCCAGTTTGGTGATTGGTAGTTAGTTTGAGTCAGCCAGTCCAAGGAGAGAAAAGAGGGGTCAAAGAAGGCTCTGTCAAGACAGTAAGTGAAACAAAGAAAAGAAAACTGATAAGGTTGGAGAAGATGTCTGTAGTGTTTTTGTATTATTCTAATGATGTATTGTACATGTTATATGGGTTTTTTTACCTGAAATAAAGAATGAATTAATTAAGAATTAAAACTGGATGTCAGATCTTTTATGGTGCCCCAACGGTCTAAAATTAGACTATAGGGAATTGACGAGATTACGTAAAGTTGACATACGTAACAAACGTTGGTGTTTCATTCATATTTATGATTATATTGATATGACTCAACGTTAACTGTTATTCTTCTCAGTATCAGCAAGCTTTGGGAGGTATCCAAGGCAACATATACATCAGAGTAAAGGACGCAAAGTAAGGTTGATATTTTAGACATCTGACTTGCATTTTATTCAATCTGAGCAATTTTGTCTACTTACATGATACAAAATAAAGACTTTTTTTAGTAGCAGTGCAATGAAGAACCGTTTTGATAAAGCTATTTAGTATGGTTAAAATTTATTGCTCGACAATTGTACATCGTAAAATGTGTGGCAGTAATGACTAATACAACACAATACAATAAAACTAAACTGACAATTAATAACTACTATTGATAACAATATATCATGTTAATTTAAGAACTTATCTGCCTTTATATTTCCTGCAGACCAGGAAGTATCATCACAAATCAGAACGTAAATGTGCAGGATGCTGAGCTTCAGGACCAGGACCTGTTTGACAGTATCTCCAATGCCCTGCAAACAGCTGCACGGACTCCAAGCTCTCTCGGGCTGGACCCAACAAGCCTTACATTTCTGACAAGTATCTTGAAGTTTCTCCACTTTTATATTACATGATTATGTACATCGTACTATGCACTTGCGGTGATTTTTGCTAACTAAAATGCTCACAATAGTTTAGAAACTATGCTTCTCAAATCTACGACAACGGCATGGGCGTCGGGTGAGAAAAAAACACCTTAGGTGCCTTTTACGATGTATGTTACTAGGGCTTTAAAATCTACTATGGCATAAGATCCAAATCTGATTCTATAATTATGCTGTTTAGCCTTCTTGCTTTACGTTAACAGTGTCAAATTATTGGTCTGGTAAATGCCCCTGTGATACATATATCTTGTTTTCTTACAGTAAAAACTTGAGAATAATCTGTTTTGTTACCACTTAAAGAAGTTACAGAGCATAATAAGCGATATATAATCAATCATACAGACTGTTCAAATGATGCGAACCTTTCATTGGTCCCACAGCGACGTGTTACGGCGAAACAGTGACCGTGACCGACCCCTCCTCCAACCGTGTAAACCTGACGTTTCCAGACTCTGCCGGTGACACCCATGTGTACTCAGAAGAAAAGTGTGCAAACAACACAGAAAGTGGTAAGATGGAGTCTTAATTGTTTTTAAAAGTTCTTTGTAGTACTTACTTATCAAAGAACGTTCAAATATGATAAATATTTTAAGTTGATGTATTTCGGGTATATGTCTGTGGTTCTCAATAGACATGTGAAGTCTCATTAATACGTTAGGTTTAAGACCGCATCGCATTTCAAAAGTCTGTACAGGCAGATAAAAGTTATATAATTGTACTACAAAAATTATATAGTTTTATTATAGTCTTCTCTTTCTTCAGTATAAGTAGGACAAGTCATAAAAATATATGAAAGACATGTAGCCACCCTGTTTTGTTGACAACTTTTTATCAGTTCCTAGACAGTGCATGCTGATTTTCATATTTCTTGTGCGTCATATGAGACTCATCTTTACTGAATATATGACAGGTGACATTCGTTTATGCATCAAACACGACAATGTAACAAAGTATTCAAGCTGTGCAAATTCACACATGTAAACCAGATTCAACAAAAAGACGCCATGATATCTCTAGTTTGATTAATTTCATGTTTTTTTATCGCCAGCTGGTGTTCCGTTGGCAGTCCGCAGATGTAAGGGAGCTTTTCAGACTGGAGTCACGTGGGCCAGGCCGGAACTGTTGGATTGTGGGCGGGATTTGTCCAAACTGGCAGAGGTCAAGTATATTTTCCTTTTAATGAGGGTCATCGTTTGTTGATCTTGGTCATGATTAGTTATTTGACCTCTGACCTTAATTCTTAATTTTCTAAAACTTGTAATTGTATGTAATATGTGCTTTTTTTGTACGTATTGCATTGTCTTGTCTGATGAGCCTTGGAAGATCAGAAGAAGGGCATCTTAATAAACCAAACCAATCGGACCATGTTATAAAGTAAAGCAGTCATCAGGTTGTTTTTGATCCAGTATGTTTACCTCAGCTATTATATTTATGTTTGTTATTTTGCTTACATTTTAATTGTGCGTGCTTTTCAACTGTATATAGAATATTTTCGTAATTTCATTTCATTAATTATTCATATTTGCGTAAATTACTATTACTTTTTTGTCATTTTTGTTTGAATCATTTCGCTGACCTCTCTTGCTTTTGCTGTTTAGATTTTACTAAATTGTGTTGTATTGTATTGCACGGACTCTAGGAGGAATTGTGTAAAGGTGTGTCAAAAAGCTAAAAGATCCTGATAAAACAAACAAACACCAAAGAAACAGAACTGTCAGATAAAATTATCAATGGCAAAAAATTATGTTGATGGATTTGTAAATAGTACTTGTTAATTTAACACCAGAATTACACGGAAATACAACAATACAGTTCGTGCTTTCAAACAATTGGAACAGCATTTTACTTTAAATTTTTAATGCAGTCTTGTGTTTCCAGGTCCCTGTAACTCCAGATAATGTAGCAGAAGTTGCTGCAGACTTACAGATCCTTACGTCTGTTGGGAGTTCCCTTATGGCGGAAAACATCGCAGATGCCTCCACTGTCCTGGACAATCTCGTAAACACCACTGGAGACGAGAATGTTGGTCTCTTTTTTTGGCTGACGCCTTAGAGGCACAGATAGCTTATAGTTTTACGTATATTCTGAGGTGTTGTCAAATCAGCTGAAATTTTAACGACTTATAAAAAGGCCACTAACGTGTAAAACGATAATTAGGAATCCTGCAAACTCCATTCTAGAGTTAGGATTACTTAAGCGTCAGGTGCACAGGAACGTGTAATGTCTCTTTTTTCAGCAATCTTTCTTTTTCTTCTTCTGCCATCCTAGATTCCGACGTCATGGAGTTTCCACACAAGTTGTTAAAATAGTAAATGTTACATGTTAGAAGAACACGACAATTGTACAAGAAAAATTTTCTTTGAACAATGCTTCAGTCGACCTTTAGTCAAACCTCATATTTGCTTGAACTTCCAGGTTGGCTATTCCGTCGTCGTGTCTGTTGATCAGATCATGAACACTGATGATGACGTTCTCCAACAGAGTCAAGTTAATGATCAGTCTCTCTCTAGGTAAGTATACTTTGATCAATTATTTCATGGATTCATTCATGACTGGAACATGCTCATTCTTGAAATGTTTTGTTGAGAAATGATATTTAATTTTTAGTTATACTAGTATTGTCCCTACGGCTGACACCGCTATGAGGCTTGTGAGGTGAGCTAGGTGAAATATGAAATTATGTATTGTGCAATAAAAATTATGTATTGTAAAGCAATGTTTCGTAAAAGAAATAACATCATATGGAAGTTTTTGTTATCCTTTTCATGTTGACTACTACATTGTAAAAGAAATTGATGATTCTTAGTAATGAATATTAAATTTTTGCAAGTAGTGTGTCTTTGTTTTTGCAGAATTGTACGGGCGATTGAGCAGTTTAATGATCGCGTAAATCTGACATCAAATCGTTTCCGTCGCATTGAGAAAAACATAGGTGTGGAAACCTACAAGGTTCAGGCGGCAGAAGTGATTAACAGGTAACGATACATCCATAAATAATCTCATCAGGTTGGTATGGCTTTTATGTATTACAACCACGTAGTCTACAAGCCAACTTATCGTTGACTGCCTGTTACCTTTGTCAGGGCCATCCTATGCACCTATTCTACACACCACAGCTATGTTTTGCTACTGCAATGTCAATAACATGGTCTTAATCATCTCTTATTTCGACTGCTTGCTATGGTTGAATGAGCATGTCCCTTACATAGTAAATGTATACTGATTGTATACTTGACACAGTATCAGCAACGTCAAGCTATAGAGGACGACACAGAGCCTTTCCTGGGGCAGAATTGAATGAACTGTTTATTAACTGTCTATCCCTTCAGAAAATGGTCACAGATTTCCGAAGCCAACTGACACTGCATGCAACATAACTATGAATGTGCCTCCTAAACTTTGTTTGTTTGTTTGTTTGTTTGTTGATATCTCCATTGGAATGGTAAACTCCATACTTTTCTTCCTGAAGTCCAGCAACATAAAAGAACAACAATAATAATAATACGAGGTAGTTACTTTTAGCAAGGTCCTTGGTTTTAGCAATAATGATAATAAATAAAACATACAAATTATGCAGAAATGATGACAAACTTGAAACAAAATCATCATAGAGAAATAAAAGTGCCTCCTTCTTTTTGCAGTGTTGGATTTGCATTCCTTGATGGAAGTGAGGATCTTGAGGACGGATTGGTACGATCCTATTCTGACTCCTCCTCCATCCCCAATGATCAAGTGGATGCTTCCATAGTCTTACCTGCCACTGCCTTCCTGAAGAGAAATATATCCAGTAGGTTGATTTTCTTTTTTTCTGTAAATGAAGGAACCAATAATAAATGCTTTGGCACTGAAATATACTAACCAATACATATGAATATGCTAACAGATATTGAACTCAAGTGATAGGGTTATCTCGGGAAATATTAATGTACAGCCAATTGTTTGCATTGAATTTTTTTTCATTATTCGTAACTTGCTCAATATTTTAAAGACCGTTTTTAAAAGAAATTTATCATTGCCTGTTTTTTATTCCCCTAGATCCCAGTGCCGGGGAAGTTCGTTTGAGTTTCATTATCTATCTGAACAGCCGGTTGTTTCAGTCCAACCAGACCTCACCCGGCACAAAAACCAGGGTCAACAGCAGGGTCATTGCCAGTAGAGTCACCGGCATCGAGCTCAAGAATCTGACCAACCCAGTAGTGACAAGATACCTTCCTCTCGTAAGTAGCTAAATCAATAGAAACTACCGCCTCTTTTGTCTTATTGGCACATCTTATTTCATATTCACACATGCCGTCTGTGTTCTTGTCCGGGCAGAGAGGGCACGCAGGTGGGTAAAGATTGACATTTAGAATGACAAGTGGTCAAAAGGACATTGTGTAAACTTTAATAAATGTCCCGAAAACCCGTCTGGAGCAAGCAGAACTAGACTAGATTTTAACATCATGGGCGAATTCAGAAGGTCATGGCCGAACCTTGAACCAAGTCATAGTCTTGATAAAAGTACCTAACACTATCTCATAGTTTTAGAATTCCATTCGTCTCAAAGTGATCAAAGTCATTAATGCTTGCTATCTCTTCATAGGTCCCAAACAGCACGGATAACACAGTGAACAACATGAGGTGTGTTTTCTGGGATTTCGAAGCAGAAGGAGGAGTTGGTGCCTGGTCGACAGAGGGGTGTGCCTTTGCCGGGATAGACAACGACAGAGTGGTGTGCGAGTGCAACCATCTTACCAACTTCGCTGTTTTGATGGTAGGTTTATCAATTTTTATATCAGAGCATTGCACGATGGAGGTGGATAAGTGACATTATGCCAGAAAAGTGTTGATTTGATTTATGAATCTGTATAAACAGATATACAGCCCAACTACCCAACTAGCCGGAGGCTATCATAAAGGGCTAGCCCTCATAAAAGGACATTGTATTTAAAAGGTCGGTTACAAGTCAGATTCAATAACATAGATAAAGGTTTTGCCTTCTGCTTCAAGGGCTACTGCACACGGACCACTTCTACGTCTTAGTTTTCATTCTACCTTTTTCAACTCAGAAGTATCGTTATCTTACATAATTGCCCGTTGATAATGGCTAAAATCATGTTGTTTTATTTCAGGACATTTATGGAGGCTTGCACAACTTTTTACTGGATCTGATTAGTAAGATCGGGATCGTGGTGTCTATCACAGGCTTGACCTTAACTCTGATCTCCTACCTGATATTCAAGTAAGTTTTTTGGATCGTTATGTCATTTATGTGATCAATATCACTGATAAAACATAACACGCTGTGTTTCCATGGGTGTTAATGTTACATGTATGTATTCATAACGTATCTTAGGATTTCATTCCATAGCAAGGCGTCCGACCAGGCATGCTCTGAGTGGTTAGATGTAGTATGAGGTCACCAGGAAGCTGTTTACTGTGCTAAATAAAATATAGACCATTGTGTAATACCGGAGTTCATTACGCCATACTGTCGTGTGAGTATTCATCTATTTTATGAAGCAATTGAATCCGGTATTTTTCAATGATCATGTGCTAAAGTTCTAATACATTGAATACAAAAACAATGTCGGAAGTCTAAAATCTCCAGTTTCTCTCTGTTTTAGGCAGCTTCGTAAGACCAGACCGCAGCACATCCTCACCAACCTGTGCATCGCCTTACTGGCGACCCTCATCCTCTTCCTGACCGGCATCGACGCTACCCACTCCCCAATCGGCTGCACCATCGTGGCGTTTCTGCTGCATTACTTCCTCCTGGCTGTGTTCATGTGGATGGCGGTGGAAGCCTTCAACATGTATCTGGCTTTCATCAAAGTCTTGGGGGCACATGTTTCCAGATTTATCCTCAAGGCAGCCATATTTGCGTGGGGTAAGTACAGTTCCTTTAAAAACAAAATGTCACATTGATTTCACTTACAATACAGTGACGTGTATCTTCATCAGAAAAGTTGGGCCATTTTTATGTTCTTCTTACCAAAAGATTGCACTGCCACACTGAACTTCATTCTATTATAAAAAGTTAGTGCATTTTGTGCATCAATACCAGGGAGATGTGAAACCAATTGTAGTAAAACAGGATAATACTAGTAATAAAGTACTGGCAGGAATAGCTAAAGTTAAGCAACTTTATCTTTGATGTCTTTCAGGTCTTCCTTTGGTCATTGCCATCGCTACTTTGGCTGTGGATGTCCCCGGCACCTATCCTAATGGACAGGGAACCTACAGGAGCAATAGCGTGTAAGATGTTACCTTACCTTACCTGGGCCCCGGGCCCCGTGCGGAGTGTAAGATATGGTATCAAAATAATCGGGTTTCCACGTTTGTAATTCATTTGACATAATACTCTTTAAGTTTGCAAATGACGGGTATGGCCATTCAGTTATCTTGACAAACATAACCACCACATGTTTGATACGGCATAGATTAGGCCAACTCATGCCAAATGCAAAATGTTAGTCTGCACTATATGAAATGAAAGAAAGAAAGAAAGCAAAATCTTAATTTAGGCGAAAGAAATACGAAAACATCAGAGGCATTTTTTTAAGTTCAATACATTATAGAACACATTTTTTGTCTGTAATATTTTTAATATATAACATTTCCTTTAGGAAACTATTGATATGAGATGCTTTGTTCATGTAGTAATGAAGCGATCGAAAGGTCTTCGAAAATTTTCTATCGGCGAAATGTTTTTATAAATATTTCAATCGTAACGCTACTCTATTAATACAAATGATGGTCTCAGACTTACAAAGTGCTAGCCTGGAAAATAAACATTTAAGTGCAAAATATGTAGACAGATCAAATTTGCAAACGACGATTTTTAAAAAAATGTTTGCTGCATGTTCACTCCAAAATATCTGTAAATCAAGGACACTATTTGAAATACTAAACGAGGCAAATATTAGCAAAATTAGATTGTCTCAATTACCTATCAAAGACCCACTCAGGTACAGGTACAGGTGGAAGTGATGTTTGCCATTCTTGTTCCTGCTGACTAGTTGCTGGCTGCAGGGTAACCAGCTGTACTACGGTTTCCTGTTGCCTGCCGGACTGGTACTGGTGTTCAACACCATTGTGTACATCATGGTCATCAGTAAGCTGTCCTGTGGAGGGAGGACCGACGGTCAGTTGTAAAAAAATGATTTTCCAATATGTAAAATGTTATGTTGAAGTCTTAATTACATTTTATCTATTTTTTTTCTTTCTCTTCGGGTGAAATTTCTTTAATCGTACATTCAATACTATATTATACCCGGCCTGTATTGTGAACTTGATCTGAATAAGGTTTATGGCATAATTTTCTGCGAATAAAACCACGAATTTATGCTGTTTTCATACTGTAAATACAAGAGCGGTGAAAACTATTATCTTGCTACTAGAATATTGCATGGCGGATTGTACAGTTGGCAGCTCCCACTGACAAACACACCTTTCTCGCACAGACTTTAAGTCTGCCACACGCTTTGAAGTGCAAAAAGGAAAATATATGCAAATGTATAAATATACCCCCTTCGTAGGGAAAGTTGCTCATCCCAGGAGTGGTGCGACCAAGCAGAATCTGCGTATCGCCATCGCCATCATGGTGCTGGTCGGACTCACCTGGATCTTTGGATTCTTCATGATCAGGTCAGGAATCCGGACCTGTCATATTGAAGCGCTCGTTAGGGTTAGAGTGTCAGATATGGAACTTTCAGTCGGATTTGTGAACATGATCAGGCAAGAGATTTTTACTAGGATCCCTAATGCAGTTAATGTATTGCATTCGATCGTGTAAGGGAGTTGGATATGAAGCTTTGAAGATGTCAGATCTGTAAGCATAACTAGGTTACAGATTTGGATCTAATATTTAGATATACAGTGTTCAAATAGGAAAATACATTAAAGAATGTTTCGATCTTAGAGACCACATGTTAGAGAATAGTTAACCTTTATTGTTACATCATACATATACTCTATACGTAAGATGACGTTATCCACACATGTATGTAGCTTTGTTAGATCTTAAGTTAAGTTGTAGAAGACCATACAAAAGTCTCTGTACTTTTTTGTTGTGTCAATAAAGAATCACATATAAACGCGGCTTTAAAAGGGTTGTAGATCAGAAGTTCAGAACTGTACACATGATGAGATGATGGATTTTTTGTTAAATCATTCATGAACTGCTTATAAATTGTTAACAAACATCACAAGTGTCACGAAGGAAGCTAAAAAGGACATAAAGCACATGCAATATTAAGATCTTGATCTCTTATCTTTTTTTTTTCATTTGGTCTCTTAGTTATTGGTATTGATGTATTGAGATTTAATCAAAAAGTACTTCAAAGAAAATCCATAAAATCAAATCAGTAAGAATCACTTCCACACCAATTTTATTATCTAACGATTTTATTTAAAGATCAATATTTCATTGTGTTGCAGTGACGGAAGGATCGTCTTTTCCTACTTGTTCTGCATCTTCAACTCCCTGCAAGGATTCTTCATCTTCATCTTCCACTGCCTACGTCAAAAGGAAGTCCGGAACCTGTGGTTGAAGTTAGTAGAGAAGTCTATTATTGACTGCTATATACATCCTTTGTGTGGTGGAATTTTTTGTCTTTTTCTTTACAAGAGATGGAGGCCAGTCATTCGGTAAAAACTTTTTTCTTTACAAATCACCAGACCAACGATAGCAATGCATGTATCTTGCTTACAGACGATAGACATCACGGTGATGGTACGAGAATTATTCAAAATATAGTTGTAGGAATTCAATAAGGTATAATTGTATTTGGCTTAAATGGCTCTGTTGCTTAATGCAATGCCAATTTGCACCCCCATCTGTCAAATTTTGATGTAATTTATGTCGTTATTATGTTAGATAAAACCATACTTTCTTTAAATCCAGGTTTTGTGGATGTCTCGTGGACGATTCTCGTGCAACCAAGTATTCGACAGGAACGTCGTCGTCAAACCCAACTGATCTGAATACGGACTACAACTCACGGGGACAGCTGAGAGGCAATGGGGTACCCATGAAAACGTATTCGGAATAGTCTGTGTTAAAAGTAATATTGTCACAAATACAACACAGACGGAATTACAACACTTCCTAAATTACATCCAATCATAATGAGTATCATTCAATGAACAAGGTTTAAGACGTTGGTACAAAACATAAACAGCGTATAAGTTTTAAGATTTATTCTTCCAGTTTATGATTCAGGTCGCCATTGTAATCAAGTATCCCTTCACCGGCACTCCAAATCATTTTAGAAGCCTAAGGACACACACACAAAAGTATGATGAATTTCAACTGCATGTAATAATGAATCTATGATTGTGCACTTATTTCCTTCCCAAAGATCTTTTTCAGTCAAAATCTATATTTTGATTAATATGCTAAAACAGGAACTTCATACTTAGTAAAGACTGTAACTTCGACAGGAATTAGTAGAGTCGAACCGCGAAAACCATTTACTAATTCACATAACTAATAAGAAAATTGCATAATACCCAGATTATCCATACTACACATAAAGGATAAAGGATAAAGTTATCACCAGATATAAATAGTTAAAATCTTGACATTGTCTTTATTAGTAAAGAGTAGATACTTTTTTAATAATTTTTGAAGAAGGAAGTTCATAATTTGAGTCTAACCAGACATAAGAGTATGTAGTTTTTTTAAAGAGGAGATAAAGAGACATATTTATGTAATTACTGAGCTCCAAGGCTATAGTATAGATTTATTATATATGCAAGCTAGTTAGAAATTAGCATTTGTACTTCATATATTATACATGTCAAACTATTTACACAGATGATATTTTAACGGCGTTTTGAAAGTAGGTAGCTCTAGTTTTAACTCAACGACAACTTTTACTTTATTTGAATTGTCAGATGATTTTGAAAGGCCAAGTCTCAATTTTGCTGTATTACATTGTAGCTATAAAGGTGTTTTCTCGGACTGACAAGAGATGATATTCAATGCAATTGTCAGTCTTTATTACTGAATATATTTCTTTTTTGCCTCTAGCCGTAGAGAAACTTCTTAAAATAAAGACGCTAATTGAACATGTTTCCAAAAGAATTGGCATCGATTTTAGGGTTCAGCCAAATGTTTTGAAATAGAATGTTTTACGTCATATATCCCGTATATATATAAAAAAAGTCTTGATTTTATGAAACGGCTTTATTATACGTTTTGTTTTAAAGAGTTCTGTCTTTGGGAACGTTGTTCAATCTCATCCACATTTAAATCAGTTGAGTCTGAGTGTATGTATAATGGGAAAAAACTAATTCAACCCTTACAGCAACATTAGTGAGAAGGGGCTGTAGTACTTACCTCCATGGAGCTAGTACAGCCCCTATTGTATGTTTCTTGTTCTGTTACAACAAATATTATGTTACTTTAATACAAATGTTAAATGCAAATCAAACACTAAGCTTTATTTTCAAGTGCAATACATACATACACATACTAGTAACTTGAACAACTTTAGATATAAAAAACATAACTAAAATGTCTATAAACACTACAAGAAGTACACATGTATAAAAAGAAAAAAATGGGACTACAAAACTACAATCTGCTTTTTCCAACAATTGTCTTGAAATATGGTATCTAGTTTTAGAACTACAAACTACGACTATATCATTCTAGAACTAACTTGGCTTTAGTTTTCGAATACTTCTCTTCTCACTATCATTCGGAACTCTGTGCCCAAACCTAACAAAACAATATAGGTAAGTAAATGAGTGTGATAATTTATTAGGGTGATTAAGAAAAATCTAACAGGATCCATACAAACAGTTTCTGGATTTTGCTAAGAGTAAGAAAGAACTGTCTTGATCCTGGGTAGAAAGAACTAACAAACAAATGAAAAACTGTGTTAGAAAAAAATGAAAAGCTGTGTTACAAAAACTTCATGCTAAGCAAAAGCTTCATCTATAGCATAAAAAGCTACTTTGTAATCACCAGAACTAAATTCTAACAAAATACAACAACAGGAAGCTACTACTCTCCTATTGACAGGTTATCAAATTTTGTTAGCGGTAGCAACATACTTTCATCGGAATACTCAGGTTACTGTGCAAAACAATGTTTCATGTTTCCTTTAAAGGCCCCTTATGTCACTTTTTACGCAAAAATTTGAAATCTTCTAATAATACTAAATTTTGATGTTATCATCAGATACTATCCCTTTTCAACACATTTATGTCATTATTATACATTTTTGACATGCATATTTTTTGTTGATTCAAACAGCCCTTGTTCAGTTCCCAGTGCCACCGGTTTGGCCTTAGGACAACAACAAAAACAATTACAGTGGTTGGCCCCCTAGGGTGGTTAATTAGTCTGGCATGCCAGGCTAGATAGACGGGCACATGTCACAACATTAGCTTCTTTGGAAACACTCATATCTTTTAGACGAGGTGGAATATAACTTAGTGCACTTTGTTAGTCATCAATAAACTGTGGTCATTACCCCTTCAAAAGAGATCAAAAATATGGTAAACGATCAGGAAACTTGTAAGCTGTCGACTGACACCCCACTGGGAGGTAGGCCACACCACTGGCCTGGACAATACCATATGTGCGGTGTGGCCAGAGGTTTGAATAGAAGATCATTCAGTCTTTTATCATGCTTTTTTGGAGCAAGGATGTTGTATTTGTATGGCTGAATATTGTTCTGGAATACTAAAGGGTTAAGTCAACTTACTATGAAAAGAAAAGACTGGAAAATATACTTTTTGTATTGTCAAAAAGTTACACAATGGGCCTTTAAGATGACTCTTGTGATGGTTTGCAACACTCGGAACATTTTAAGAATTATGCCTAGTGTGAGTCTGCATGTGTTTCTTTAGACTGGAACGATGACGGAACTGCTCGCTGCACTCCTCACACCTGTAGGGTTTCTCACCAGTGTGAGTCCGCATGTGTCTCTTCAGATCAGACAGCTGACAAAACTGTTTGCTGCACTCCTCACACATGTAGGGTTTCTCCCCTGTGTGAGTCCGCATATGGGTCTTTAGATTACCCAGATGACTGAACTGCTTGCTGCACTCCTCACACTTGTAAGGTTTCTCCCCTGTGTGAGTACGCATGTGAGTCTTCAGATCACCCTTCCGACTGAACTGCTTGCTGCACTCCTCACACACGTAGCATTTTGCAGTCACCATTCCACCGCCAAACTCCCCTTCCAAACTCCTTTCCATGTCATCAGAGCTGACTCCACTTGATGTCATGCTGGTGAGAATATCCCAAATGACTTCTGAAACAGAAGATACAAACAATTTCTTCTACGGCCTAGTCTATTATGGCACAGTTACATTTACCGTAGGTCATTGTTTGACGTCTATGCCAAAGGATTTTCAAGCAGGATGTAACTGAACCAACTGCGAACAAGGTTGCAGTTCTTACAACTGGTAAACACATTGACAGTTGGTCTGGCAGTGTATCAGAGGGCCTGAAAAAGATCGTGAACATTTCTTGACACGGAATAGCAGGGCATTAACTGGTGACACACAAGTATTGACATAAGAAACACTGCTACAGATGGCATACGTATCGTCAGGAATACTTAAGACATTCTGCTGCAAAATTCCAAACATCGGAAGGTAAGGAAGGAAGGTCTCCCCGTGCTCTTGCCCGAGCGTAGGGTGGTGCCCATCTCCATTTCGTAGCCCTTGGGCGACACACAATTGTGCAATGCACTACAGTAGGGGGCTGGTCCGCTGGTAGTGCTGTGTGTTTGACCTTCACCCACTCTTTTTCATATATGTGCTGAGTGCTCAGCAGAGAAAGAAGTGTGTACCATTTTTAAAGTCTTTGGTATGACCCGGCCGGGGTTTGAACTCACGACCTCCCGGTTACAAAGCGAGCACTCTACCAACTGAGCTATTGCACCGGTAGATGTAGAAGACAACACGCGCCATTTTCTCATTAATATGTAACTAGCAGCGTGCACTCTACGCTCTGATTGGTTGACCTCATATGACCTGCGCTCTGATTGGATAGAGCCAACTTTGCCGGCAGAGCTGCGGAATTTGTTGGCGAAGAGAGTTACACTACCGTACTTTCTACGTGTTCCTATCACTACTTAGTAACATTACATTTAAGAAATTCATTATTAAGAAGTTTTGGGGAAATGTATGTATCCATATGCCGATTTGTGGTGCCTTTCGTTAGTTTCGCGTATTCAAGCAAGCTAGCTAGAAGTGTCAGCGAACCGCGACGTGGATAGCGAACTGCGGCGTGGATTTTCATGCAACGCGCCCGCTACAAGACCATCAAAAACAAAAACGTAACTCCCAAAAGAGAATTTTCACATCCGAAATTATTTTGTTCGAGGAAAAATGTTTGTGGATACATTTTACCGGATGGAGACTTGAAAAACGGGTTTTGATTAGATTAACGTATACGAAAGGCGCCGACATCAATTGTTCGTCAGCATATAAACAATAGCAAAACAAACAACGTGTGTCTTTCCTGCCTTGGACGGCGTCCCCGTCTACAGCCACAAAACAAAGAATGTCAATTTCTCTAATTTTCCGAGTCTCGGCATTTTTTAAGAGGATAAGAGGACGGCGTCTGTCCGAGTTCAGGCCGTCCAAAACTACACGAGCCCGTCATATATTAGTAGCATAGCATCAAATAGTGAGTCTACAAAACATTAGTGAACCGCCCCTGACACAGTTCGTCCTGCCACGGTACAGTATAATGTCCTTGGTCTAGCCAAGGAGGTTAGCAGAGCATGAAATAGAGACTCTACCAAAACATTAGTGAACCGACCCTGGCCCTAGCTTTCACAATCATGCCTGATGGAAACCAGATGTTGGTGAGGGAGGGGGGGATATATCCCGATTCCGAATTTTCGAGGTTATACCAAGGAGCTTTCATCACCTTGGTTATACATACTCCTTGCTTTTGTATATTGCTACAATCGGACGAGAAAGGATCATGTTTACGTGTTGTTCGAGAAGCACATTGTTTGCGAAGGTCTATCAAAACGGTATCAAATCGTCACATGTGCACAAAACTTCACACGCCATAATTTCGATCACAACA